TTTATTCGGTTCCTAAGCTATTCTGGTAATCCGCAAGCTAAAACTACGCAGCGACCTGAACTTGAGAGAAAAGGAGAAAAATAAGCGAAAAATACTTCACTCCAAAGGTTCATTTTTGTACAGAAAAACACGGGTATTTATAGATGTTAACATTTGTTAAACCAACATATTTTGGACAATCCGCTAAAAGACACGTTTTGCTACTGACCAATAGTAGCACGCCACGTTGATATTCTAGAAACTCCATCATGCTCTGATTGGCTAGGACTCTCCGACTCCTTTAGGGACTCTGAAGATTCCGTTGCAGTTTTCGGAAAGTCGACTCAACACATCATGCAACAGATTCAGGGTGTAAATATCAGAACTACGTGGTCAATAGCTAACGGAAGACATGAAAAAGTGAAGTTTATTTAAATTCCTTTGTTGAAACTTTATCCGACTTTGCTATTTGAAAAGAACTTTATCGAACGAACTGGTGCCTTTCTTCCTTTATTTGCTGATATGATTCCAAGCATTTAGGAAGTTCTAAAAATACTAAAAGAGCTTTTCAACTCAACCGATAATACAGTTGAAGAGTATTTGAATAACATTATAGCAGAAGTAAAGCCATAAAAAGTGTAGAGGAAATTCTTGAAGCAAACTCTTGTTCACTTCCCTAAAATACAAAGTAAACTTTTGTAGAAATAAGTCGGAGATTCTGAATTTGATGTTGGCTGACAGTTATTTTTGAGTTTGATGTGTTCTTTAATTGCATCACCAGGCAAATGTTAACTTGCAAACTTGAAGGGAAATGGAAAAGAGGAAGACTAGGTGAAGCATTGCATCGGTAATTAAAAGCCTATATCTGAAGAATGGAAGGGATAACCCAGGACAGAGTTAGTTGGAGAATACTGGTGTGCAGCCTATACTTCTCCACGAAGGGTAACAAGTAACATAATGAGTATGAAGTTAATCATAAAAATGCAATATCTAAAATGTTTCAACCCATTTAATGAGTGCTTTGTGTAAAACTATGATTTTTACCGGATATTTTTATTTCATTTATCAAAAGCTTTTCATATACGCTTTCTATAAAAAAGACAATAGAGAATACCCTAAATTACAGAACTGAAGAATATACTTAAAATGAAATCCTCAGTTTAAAATTATCCCTTAACATGTAGCCTTCATTCATTAAATTAATGGAAAGATATCTGAATTTGCATGATATCGCATGTATATATAATGAACATGGGAAAATTATATGATCTATAAACTGATTCCTAGGCAGGAACCTACTAACAATCATTTTCTCAATTCTGATTATCTCACTCATCCACTAGACTTTTACTAATACTTCAAACATATTATGTAGAACTATTTTACTCCGTTCACATAGCAGGAAAGATTTTTATTAAAGCACTGTAGTAAATGATTCACCAAATATAATGTGCCCCCAAATGCTCTAGTATATTCGACGGTGAATTGAGCTCTCTCTCCCTCTTGAAATGGTCTCACATATACAGCTACTGACTGGGAAGTCCTACTCAATGCCTTCTCTCCGCGTGGGTGTTCTTTACAAAATTGAGGGAACGAAAGACGAATGTCCGGCGCTTAAACTGAGTTGATGGATACGGAGAAGCCATCTAGGCGAGTCAGAAACTCTCATCCCAAACCAATGGTGCATATGGGGCCCAGGATTCTGAGGGAACAAAGGCGTATGAACCAATTACTGGTCACCAGCTACCATTAGACTTTATATCCTTACGTTGGTTCACTGTCTTAAGGATTAGACCTCTAGGTCGAAGGCTTCGGGTGTGGCCCCCTAAGAAAACCATATGATTCGGTCTGGGCGCCTTGACAGTATCACAGACACATAAAATGACAATAATTACTGGAAATACTGGTCTTGCTCCAATTAAAATTCAGACAACTTACATCCACTTGATAGGATTCATTTTTGTTTTTTTATATACTACGTAACTAATCTCTCGTTGGTGTCGCACTAAGCACTAGAGCTGAGGCAGCACTAACTGATTGGATCCCCATTAACAGTCGGTTATGTGCTGTTGGATTAGAAAGTTCCATCAAAATAAGAAATCGGTGTGAGAAACGATGGCTTTTCGTCATCTCCGCCTATGACCCGACAAGATTGCAGCCCAGATGCAATCAAGAATGAATTTTACCACCAGTCAACTGTTCTTCAGAAAGTGCGTTAGACAGATATTGTAGTGCTAGCCGGAAACTCGAATGCTCAGGTCGGGCATAAAAGAGAGTCGTTTAGGTGACCGATAGGGAGTTGTTGGTCGCAGGTTGGATAATTGGGACCGTCTACTGCAACTGTGCGCAAACAACCTGTTTCTCACTAGCAGTCATCGCCAATGTGTCATCTGGCGCCTTCCCTCTGCATCTCAGGTCTGGACTCAGATTGATCACATAGCGATTAGCTACCACTGGCGTGGTTGTGTACAGGACTGCCGCTCTTTTCAGATTACCTATCTGGACTCTAATCATGCCCTTGTTTGCGCTGATCTCATCTTACTTTTCAGTGGCCAAATAATTCATGGTCCTAAACGGGTCGATGTCAGTAAATTGGTTGCAGCTTCTATTGCAACTAAATATCAAACCGAGCTAGGTTCAGCGCTAGCTACCATTCCACCGAAAAGTATAGATGAGCGTTGGTTGCAACTTCATGACGCCATAAAAATGGCGAGTAAAGCCGCTTGCGGCTTCGCGAAACATCCCGCTTAAAAGCACTAGGTTTCTACAAGCTCCTTACAAATCATTGATACCAGTCGGTCTACTCCAAGTGACTATGAGTTTGACCACAAACGACGACTGTTACGTAATGAAATTGGGCAAGGCTTGCACAAGGACAGAGAAGCCTGGTGGTTAGAGAGTGCCAATAAGTTGGAAGCAGCAGCTGTATCTAGTAACTACCAAAAGCTCTTGCAACTCGCCCGAGTCACTGGCAGAAGTCTGATGTGGTTGTGAGTGATGAAATCAATTCACATATAGTGAAGGCCAGAGAGGCTGATGCCGATTTGGACCATCTTTGTGATGTTAGTGTGCCTGTAAAGGTCGGACCTAAAAAGTGTCGGTGAGATCACGTGTGCTCTATGCTTGTGAAAACGGGCCTCTCCGAGTTGAGCATGTTAGACGACTCTCTGTGTTTGATCTCTATTGCCTCCGGAGGATTGATGACATCCAGTGGCAACACCATGTTAGTAATTTGGAGGTTCAGTATTATGTGTTCAGACACGACGATAATAATTTACCATCTTGAAACATCAACTTCGATGACTTAGACATGTTCTATGAATGTTGTGTCAGAGAATTCAACATAGTGTATTATTTGCCGACTCTGGGACTGGTAAAAAAATAATCGGAAAGGTGATCAATTTATGACATAGGGTCGTGGTATATAAGAAAGTTGTACAGAACTAACTTCTATCGGTTCTTCACAACTTCCTGATTGGGGTCTTAGCGATGTTGCCCAACACAATAGCTAGAGACGTCATTGGAAATAGATCAGAATGAAAGAAAATGGTGATTCCACCGAAAATTTATTTCTCTTTCTTCATTAAAAGCGGATGAAACTTCTTTAACTGGAAGAATTCTTCCTGGTTATACCTTTGCTTATTGAACTTTTTCGCCAATTATTATTATTATTTCACTAACATACATTAATTTCTGTTCGTTGTTGTTCCCCCTTTTTTTAAAAAATACTCATCTAACATTCTTTATCTCTTCACAGCCTCATTGTCATTGTGTGTGGGTGTATATCTATTTGGTACCCCTATGCATATTTAATTTCATAATCTAAATATAAATAAACAAACAATTAAAAACAAAGGAAGATAAATTGTACATTAAACAACAGTCAATGTATCCATGTCTCTCCCTCCCTCTCTCTCTCTCTCTCTCTCTCTCTCTATATATATATATATATATATATATATATATATATATATATATATATATATATATATATATATATAAACATCAATGGGAAGATTCAAGTAAAACAATATCAAGTGAATTCAACTTTAACCCATTGCACAAGCAAGTGGCTATCAGGACTCAGTAGCTAAGTGGATAACGCGATGGCGTTTGAAGCGAACGGTACTGAGTTCGAGTCCCGGAGTGAACATCAACTCTGAGATGCAGGTACATCCAGCTGATGAGTCCCAAACAGGACGAAATGCACGTCAAACTGGATTCCACTGCTAGCCACTATCCATCCTTGCCAATGATAATGCTTGTAAATTAAGGCAATATCGAGGCATACGCATAGTATGCACATATGCCAATAAGAGACTGATCAATTTCAGAGAGAGAGAGAGTATGTAGGTATGTGTGTATATGTGTACACAAGTAAACAAACCATACATAACATAATGAATATAATAACAAAGTGTTATATCAATGTTTTATTACTAATTCTACATTGAGATTAATTTCAATGAAATTAGATTCATATCAATATACATATCTGTTTATCTTTATATTACATTAAACATGATCTGTAGTAATCATCATAATAATAATAATAATAATAATAATAATAATATGATTATGTAAGGGTATAATTGTTTTCCTTTTCTTTCTCTCTTTCTCTTCTTTTCTTTTTTTATCACAACAACTGAATGAAACAAGCAACTGATGTATAACAACAGTCGAAGCAGCAACAGCAGCAACAGCAACAACGAACAAACAGTATACAGTAAAGGACAATAAAAATGTAATTCAAATGATAATATAACTATTGCATAATATGACAATTCATATACAGTTGTGTATCTGAGTATAAATATGTATATATATATAGAGGGAGGGGGGTACATTGCCGTGTGTACGTGTGTGTGTGTGCGCGTGTGACAATTCACATAAAAACAATGACATAATAATAATAATAACAATCTCACAGTAAACAAAATGAATCTTACACAAATACAATTTCTGTACAATAATATTTTATATGTGTGTAGTATAAGTGATAATAATCATGAGAAGCTAATTCATACTCTAAGCATCATATCACTATTATCATTAGTAGTAGTAGTAGTAGTAGCATTAGTGTTAGTATTATGAGTAGTATGAGTAGTATTAGTAGTAGTATGAGAAGTATTAGTATTCATCTCATCATTATTATTATTTGTATTATTTAAATGAAGTTCCGGAAATAATTCTAAAAGGAATTGATCTAATAGAATATAAGTTAATTGTTTATTCCATTTAGAATATTGAAAACAATCAAATATTCGATTTAATTGATCATGTATAATTTCTAAATTAGTGAAATATGAAAGACCCGTTATATCTAAAATAATAATGAAAGAATAGAAATATAGATAGAGAAGAATTAAACTAATCACATATAATAATAGGGGTTGTTTATTTGAACATTGAATAAAATAGTACAACAGAAATCATTTGATGATTTGTGTGAGGGATGGAATGCTGCTCGGGTGCCCAACAGAGGATTCGCTTAAGGGGGGGGGTCGAACTCCGAGTTTTCCACCTAGAGGTTTGATCCACAAGGCAGTGGAGCAACGTTAAGAGATGCAGTCCCATGGTAACCATTGACCAATATCAGGCTCATACGCCATTTGTCTCCTTAGGATCCTGGAACCCATGTGCACAATAGGTTTGGAATCAGGGTTTCCCAGCCCCTAGGCTGATCCACTACATCCATCAACCTGGTTTATGCGCGGGACATCTGCTTCATGTCCTCTCAACAGTGAGTACGACTTACCTAACAGCGGCTGTATATATGTGGCCATGTTAGAGTATTTCGAGAGGAAGAGCGGGCTGTCTGCCGAGACAGGGCGTTTGGGGGCAATAATAGCAGTTATAATGGAGGGGGTTGCGAGAATTGCTGAATTTTCTAATTTTACATTACAAACCGAATTTACTTACAGGAACAGTGAGAACCAGGAACAACTAGACAGTTATACAGCTGTAGTATGGAGTTCATCAGTAGTGTGTACGTACTACTCAATGACGGACTGAACCTAGTAGCTATTAGGCTTCACAAGGAGCGATTAATCATAGAGTATATTGAGCTAGGATCCAACGGTTTACATTTCTAACTTCACTTAACTCCTAAACCTAGGAAAATAAGCTATTAAATAGTCCCTGTTATTTACTGATCCGCTAAATGAATTTACTTCTGGAATACTTACAAAAAGATTTTTAATGATTTCAATGATTTAAATTTATGATGATAAAAATTAGTCTATGACTAAACTAGTAGTGTTGTGAACGCTGCTCACAACATTGTTTGTAAGTAGTGTGTATAGGGACGCGGCGTCCAAGTTGCTACAATTGTCAGGAGTGATAAGTTTCAGTGCACCAAAAGCACGAGCTGGCCACCAGATGAAGAGACAGTTCAGATGAAAGAACGCACCAAAACAAGCAAATGGAAGACAGAAGGCTATGAATAATGTATTATATAGATACTTTGTAACTTCTCACAACGAATGAATTCCTTTTGCCTATCCTGGCGTTTTACAATAGGATTTTGAAAGGATATTTAGATGTTGAATGATGGTAAACCAGTTGATGAGATTGTGAATCTACATCGATTGAGATGGTTGGGCCACGTGTTACATATGCCTCAACACTGATTACCATGACGCGCAATTCTCACTAGTGTAGGGGATTTCTGAAAAAAGTTAGGAGCAGCCAAACCAAAACGTGGCATCAGTCCACAAAGTCACTAACTTCTAGTCTGAGCCATGTTGGCATATACAGACTACTTGGTTTGGGTCCGCATGACTATCGTAACCAATAGTTAGAGACTATGGGTGACATGGCTCAGAATCGATCGTGGGTGTATACACGCTCTGTCTTCCATTAAACTATAAGATTAAAATCGCTTCATATCTTTCTTTCTACGAGCTAATTCTTTCTTCCTGTAATATATCTTTATATGAAATCTTTTATAAATTACCACCACTGAATTAACTACTTCTAGGTTACGGGTACATTCGATAATTGTTTCAACAAATAGATTAGAAAGGCATCATATTACACTAAGTTGAGAAATGTCATAGAATTTTAATAGTTAGTCGGTTATTTAGTTTTAACCAACGGTAAAACATAGGAAGGATAAGTGATATAGCATGTTATATGAGTATAACGAGAATATCACAATAGGAAACGATCAAATCGAAACAACAATAATAGCGGTATGTATAACTAAGAGATAGATAAAAAAAAAAGTGATTGTACTTAAACATACGAACGATTTCAATTGATGTGTATTGATAATCTATAGAGTTGAATAGCTTATGGGTTACGAATTAAAGAGAATACGACTTCTGGTAGATACATGTTCCCATACAACAAGAAACATCATTTATCTTAAGGTTGTAAATAATGACACCTTGATAATAAGTGTGAAAAAAGCATGAGAACTACATAGGGTCCATATATATCCTAGTCAAACATTTTCAACTATTTAGCATTAAATTAAAATATACAAATTTGTTATTCACTAATCTGTTTGATTCTGTTTTAGTAGCGTGCATGATATCAAGATGGAACATTAGGAGGGAGAGAGAGAGAGATAAGTAGTAACTTAAAACACAACACATCGCTAATCTTTAATGTCAGTTGATTCAGTCAGCCACATCTAATAACCCTAAACTGAATCTATACGTCAATTTGAACATCAGAGAATGTTTGATCTAATACAATGTCTTAACTCCGCCTGTAGCTCTTCTAGAGTTACTGTCGGTCCCAAGCCCGGATAAAGGAGGATGGTTGGGCATGGGGTTAGCGACCCCATCCCGTAGAAAACTAACTCGCTAAAAAAAACACTAACCAGAACACAATGTCTTAATAAATCCTTACTTGTGTTGTTATTTCGCGCAACACAGGAATTGTAATGGTTTCTCAATTAAAATGAAAGTAATAAACCACATGGTCATTACAATTTTCTTAACAAAATTACACAAAGAAAAAAACATGCAATACTCAATATAATGTAAATACTTACTTAGAATCGCTTTTTCAATTGCAATACGCGCTTTTTCTTTACGTTTTGACTTATCCATATCGATTCTATGAAGATGTAAAGTATTCATAATGAATTAATTTTATACAACAAGTGGATTGATGATGATGGTGGTTAAGAAAAAATCACCAAAAAACTAGGAATCATTGGCTAGTTGTTTTGTTCGGTAGTGAGCTTTCGAAACCTAATTGGGGATCAAAGCCAGAATCTTCAGGTCTTTCAATGAGCACTTGATCTATAGAGTCGGTATCTAATCATTTACATATTCGACTTTAATCAATTCGAGATATAATTCGTGGGTTACTGTGTTAAATTTGTCATTGGTGGACTCTAATGATCACGGTTTCTCACTAGAACTACGGGAACTAACTTTCGAAATTAGTAACAAGTGAGTAAATTATTATTATAGGCTTAGTGGAATTCTACAGGGTTAACTTCACAGACTGATCTTAGTTAACAATTTCAAAGAACCTTGTTCAGCTATAAATCTACTAAATACTCTTCATAGCTGTAAAAACTCTTTACAGGATACTTTTCGCTATGGTTGCAGTTGTGAAATGTATAATTTAGAGTAAATAAAACAATTTAATAAAGCTGTAATACGTGTTTCTATCAATTTATTTCAATCAATATGTACGTAAAATGTTTTTGTATCAGTGTGTGCGACCCTGTCAGGGGTCGAACCCAGGATCTTTAAACCAAATCTCAAATAAAAATTTCACGAGTTTTAATGAAAAGTCATGATCAGCGGAAACGATTGTCCAAATCATATTAATCGATGAAGATAAACAATCTTATCAACCGATTGACCATCTTTGTCCAATACTATGCGCCTAAATGTCAGTAGTATTAGTGTGAGCTACTTATATCCACATAAGTAGTATATAACGACAGTCAGGAATAAAATGTATCTCAGTAGAAGATCGAGAAGGAAAGAATGGGAACGGAAGGTAATTGTTATGAAAATGCAGAAACAATGAAATTCAAGACAATGGACTGATATTTGCAGAAGAAACAGTCAAGTTTAAGATAAGGGATTGATATTTGGTAAATTTCTGGAGAACAACGAAAGCCATCATGCAGAGGATACAAGTGTTTATTATTTCTTGGTAAGACACTATCAGCAACAACCAACTGTGGGAGAGAACAAACCAGATCCCAGCGGAGGAAGAAATCAGGGAGAGGTGCTAGAAGTGGATAGGACACACATCGAGGAAAGCACCGAACTGCATCACAAGACAAGCCCTCACAAGGAACCCTAAAGGTCAATGGAAAAGAGAAAGACCAAACAACACATTGCACCGACAAATGGGTAAAGACATGAGGAAAATGAACAAAATTGGACAGAACTGGAAAAAAGGCCCAGGACAGAGTAGGTTGGAGAATACTGGTCGGCGACCAATGCTTCATTGGGAGTAACAGGTGTAAGTAAGCTAAGTAAGTTTGCAAATTAAGTATTTACTGTATGTTCACTTCGTATTGTTGTTTACTTGTATCTTATCGTTTTTATTTTAAAACTGAAATTGACCAGTCCCTTGTTAGCATATGTGCATACTGAGTGGATTGCCTCGATATTGCTTGAAGTCACAAGCTTTACGGTATTGATTCTTAGATTTTAAAGAGATATTCTGTAATTTCATATTCAAACACATTCGATTATCCCAACTCGTGTTGTTATTCACTACAGTATTACTCATACTATAGTCTTGAAATATGTGTGCAATGTTGAAACAAACGACGAAACTGTTATATCCCGATGAGAATAATGAATGGTTACTTTTGGAATCCATTTCTGGACCAATACTATGAGTATATTTTTATCGTATAACTGTTAAGTAACTAAGCTGTTCATGTTCGTGTCCCTCCTATTATGAACTTTATTTTGACCTATGAACTATTATTATACCATTTACCATTCTTGACTTATGCCCTGTCTCTTAGTCATTGCCTCCAACATTCACAGACATTTTTGGCTAAATCTTATACAAATGCTGTTTCCTATTTTATGGTACGTTGTGATTTGTCTGGTTGGTATATAAACCCAATATGTTTGAAATACATGATTCATATCTTGGAGGCTGAGATTGGTGTTCTAAGCTTCACAGGCAGGACTAGACAGGAAGCAGGACCGATAAGGACTCTAAACTGCTCGTACAAGTTTTATGCATCATTGGTCCGATCGATAATTCACTGTTCTCTAATTGCCGGCATCATTACATTATACATTAGCAGGGCATTCAGACGACAAGTGATAACAGAAATTATTCAATAAAATGTATGAGATGAGGTAATCCCAGAAAAATTAAGTCAATAGGTTACATTTTATTCAAGTTATATTAACACAAATTAACGAAGATGTTATAAACATACTTACTTTTTAGAAGAATGAAAGAATATACTCGCTACATAATAAAATAGAAAAGGTAAATGAATGAAAAAGAAAATGTAGTTAACATTTAGTCAAATGTAAAATTATCTCTTAATTAAATATAATTGAAGGCTAGAATTCTTTTATATGGATAACTAACTTAATGTGTGATATATATGTGTAGATTCAGCTAGTTGAAAGTAGAGTGATAAGTCAGTGATCAAACTAGTTGACTAGCAACTGTTAGGTAAACATGGTAATGATTAGTGGTAGATATCTAAGTCCTATAGGAAATCAGTCCAATGTCGAGTAGCTAAGTGGTAACGCGCTTTATATTGTGAAAACGGAGAATCCTGACGAACACTATTTGATGTTTAAAAAATTTTTTTGACGAAAGCTTGCCATAAGCAACAACGTAAAACTTCGCATGTACGCACGTACATCAGTTCGAGTTCGCACGTAGGGGCAGTTGGTGGTTGGGCATACGTAACATACGTCCCAGTCCTCTCATTAATTGATTTGCCATCCATACCTGGTACCCGTTTTCTAACAACTGCATTAATTACTCGGTGGTCCCAGGATATATGAGTAATGCTTCAAATACTAGTAACCTATGAATATCCTCTACTCATACTGGCCATGTTTCACTGCCATATAGTAGGATGAAACAAACTGCTGAGCAGTAAACCCGTTCATTGGTTGATAGACGGATATCTCGCCTACGTCATAAATGACGCAAGTTGGCAAAATCTAGTTGAGCCTTCTGTATTCGTGCTGAGATGTCGTCACACACCAGAACACAAGGGCAGATAAGACTTCCAAGGTAAGTGAAGCAGTCGACACACTCAACTAGTTCACTCCCTATCATTAATTCACGTGCCGATACAACCTAATCCTGAAGCAACATTTTGCATTTCGAGGGGAAGAATCGCATCCCGAACATGCTTGCATTGTTGTTTATGGTGGTAAGAAGACTCTGCATTTTATCATCGTGCTCACCAAATAGAACTATGTCATCAGCATACTCTAAGTCAACAAACGAATCTCCCGGTAAAAGTTCAACTCCTGGAACTTAGATGAAGAAAGTGTTATCTCTAAAAGCACGTCAACGACAAAGTTAAACAAGAATGGAGAAAGTGGACAGCCCTGACGAACACCACTTGAGGTAATCAATTCTGATGACAGTTCGCCATAAGCTATCACTCGACCGGTTGTGTTCGTGTAGAGAGCCTTTACAAAGTTAATGTACTTTTTTGGTACTCCTTTCAGTGACAAACACTGCCATAGAACCTCACGATCAACAGAGTCATCACGATAGGTAAGGCCGACCACCACGTCAAGGTAGCAGCTACGGTCGGGGTCAGAGAAAATAGATAAATATAGCAAGATAAACTACCCAGGATAATTACGTCAAAACCACGAACCGATCTAAGCGAAAACAACTATTAAAAGCTTTGAAGCACTGAAATACTATTTCATCCCAGTATGGAACTCCTCAGCAGTTCACATCTACAACTCTGTATCTGGGAATCAAACTCACGGCCTTCGGTCTTACGTGTGAATTTTTAGCTTTTAAACTACTGAGCTGACAACCAATGGTGTACAAGTTTAACTTCAATCAATCAAAGATAAGATAAGCTGAATTCACGTACAAAATATTGAGAGCAATTTTGTTTATTTGGAATCTTTAATATAATATTGGATAAACCAACTTGGCTAGTTAATAGGCGACCTTTAATATTAAAGTGGTCTAACATCAGTTGATTCATGATCTCAATCAAAAACTTAATAGTCTCTACAGCCCCATACTGATAATTACCATTTGCTCACTAGTGACTATCTTCATGAGAGAATTCTTCGACTTCTAAAGAGAAGCTGTGACCAGTGGAGCTAATCCATGTCAAGTAAAGACATATATCTACCTCAATACAATGGAAGATAGTCGCGTAATTTCGTAGATTGGTTGAGGTTAGACATTAACACTGTTGGATATCGACTCAGTAGTCTAGAAGCTAAGTGTTTGCGCGCGAGTCTAAAGATTGTGAGTTCAACTCCCGCATGTGCGATCGTAGATGCTTACTACTGATAAGTCCCATACTGAGACGAAGCGGTTGTTCAATGCTTACAGGTTTACCATGATAGTCTAACATCAATCAATTCATGATAATAATTACATGGATTGATTAAAGTTAGACATGAACACTAATCAATACGAGCTGATCGGTCACACATGAGATTGATATAAATCTTGACCATAGTTACATAACAAAGAGAACAAAAGAAAAACACCACCGCCAGCAACAACAACAACAACAAAAAGAAAAAAGAAAAAAAGACGGGACGTAATTCAACTTACTTTTAATATTATTTAATAGATGTGCAAAATTCTCATCAGAAAATATTTCATAAATAGATTGTATAAAATAATTCATTAACCAATAATTAATTGATGATTTAAAATAAATAAATAAAATTATAATTAATTTATAAATTAAATAATAGAAATAGAATTGACATTGTTTTATAATAAATAAATAGAATTCATAAATAGCATCATAAATATCTTTGAAATTAATAGATATTATTGGTATATAATGTGATTGAATAGGATCTAGTCTAGTTTCCGATGATGATGAGGATGACGACGACGACTGATGACTTCTTGAAGGAATATGATTCATATTAGTAGTAGTGGTAGTAGTAGTAGTAGAAGATGGAGAAGAAGGAGGAGGAGGAGAAGTAGTCATTACATTTGATAAAGATGGACCATTTAAAAATGCTTCATTCCAATATGGATTAGTAATATCCCAAGGATCAATTGATGATTTTATATTATCTATATTGATTTCTTGTAATGAATTCATCCTTTGAATAGATGAAGATGATGTGGTGGCGGTGGCGGCTGTTGTTGTTGATGATGATGATGATGATGATATCATTTCAACATGAGATGATAATTGTGAATGATTTGAATGATGAGAGAATTTCTTATCATTTGAAAAATATGATGTTGATAATAATGTGATAATTTTGTCCAAAAAATATAAAATGATTTCAGATAAACTTGTTAAATGAACTGTTGATAAGTTAGATGACTAGAAATAAAATAATTAAAAAAAGAGATTTATTTTATAATGAAGTATAAAATATTGATTAGTATAGGGTTATGGAGACTGTTGAATTGAAACCGATACACCAAAATGCAATGATACGGCCAAGGATGAGAAAAGTTAACTCTCCCTCTCCAAATACTCTCATATGGCCGCCGAGCATATACTGCCACCACCAGAGGAATCCTACTCACCGCATTCTCGTGGAGGGGTCAATTATTGAAGAAATTGAGAGGACGAAAAGTGAATGTTCAATGCTTTAACTGGATTGGTCGATATGGTGGATCCACCTAGATGAGTTGAAAAACCCTCATTGAAAACCAATGCTGCACATGGGCCACAGTATCCTGAAGGAACAAATGGCATATGAACCAATCGTTGGTCACTGGTTACTATGAAACTGAGTCTCCTCATGTTGTTTTACTGTCTTGTGGATCAGACCTTAAGGTCGAAGGCTCCCGTGGTGGCCTTCTAAGAAAACTACGTGGTTCGGTCTCGGCACCGTGACAGTATCGTACCCTACACATGAATCAAGTGACTTGTGTGGTGCATATGTATTCGGTGCTCGTTTGTACCAATATTTATGTGTTCAAATAAATAAATAAATAAATAAAGATTATGAGCTGATCAATGTTAGACCACCATTGAAAATTTAGGAGCACTGAATGGCCGTTTCAACATAGTATGGGACTCCTTGGTATTCACGATCCCGCACGCAAGACTGTCGGTCTCGCGCTAGAACGCTTAACCTTGAGATTAGTGAGCCGGTATCCAAAGGTGTGAATGTCTAACTTCAACCAATCTTTCATTGTCTTCGGTTGAACTCCATTGGTCACGGACTCTCACTAGAACTCCGAGAATTGCCTCTCGAAGATAGTCACTGATAAGGGTTGTGCAGATTGTTCAGTTTCAATTGACGTCATGAAACCTATCAATGCTAGACCACCATTGAAAATCTCGAGGCACTGGATGGATGTTTCATCCAAGTATGAGACTCTTTAGCAATGTGCATCCACGTTTTGAATGGTGGTCTAACATTGATCAGTTTCATGATATTAATTATAAAATATTTTTGAGGCACAAAAATAGAGTGGAGTTTGATAAACAAATTTGCTTTCGTAGACTGCATGTATTAGATCATCAGTGTCTTCAAGCCATCGATTGGATATAGTAATGCTGTGGTGTGTGCTACTTATATTGACATAAGTAGTATATAATGCGAGTCAGAAATATAATATCTGGCAGCAGAAGATTGAGGAGACCAAGAAGGGAAGGACGGGAATACAAAGCAATTGGTATGGAAATGCAGAAACAATGAATTCTGAGACAATTACTGAACATTTTGCAAATTAAGTATTAGAGTATAGTTTTACTATTTTACCAAGTAACTCTGTAATTTTGTTCCAGATATAATTCGGTTGTCCTTACCTATGTTCTCCTTCACTACAATACTACTACTAAGTCAGTTATATCGTTAGAAGATATAAGATAAGTATCGGTATGAGTTTGTAAACTCTTATCGGTACATGTGGTTAAGTATGGTCACGTATTCCCGATCACAGTCACTACTCAGTTATCCCTTAAAGTACGGAAACAAATTAACAGAGATCAAATAGTTTTAATAACATTAGTTTTCTTACCAGCTAAACCACAATTAACTAATTTCACCTATAATAGTGAAGTTGTGACTTCAAACTAGTGACTACTCTGTACAAACACAGGTAGAGTATTGAATTATTAATGAAAGCTCCGCTACTAAACCATCTCAGCTCAGAGAACTCAACACCACCAAACGTACCCTATCTTCGTCATACACAAAGAACAAACTTCGCTTTCTAGATGAGGGTTCGTAGATGTGCACTGTTTAGGAACTGCTTACTAGGACAAAATGATCGTTCAGTGCTTTCAGGTTTCCAATAGTAGTCTAAGATCAGTTCATGATCTGAACTGTGAATACTTTTTCATTTTCAGATTAGGAAAATATGTGACTTACCTGATTTATTGTATCCTTTTGTTTTTCATACGTTAATCCCGCATTATTCCAATAGATACGTGAACGTAGACGATGATCTAAACTTGTACGACTTTGATGTTTATGTTGCGGTGAATTTAATACATAACGACTATAATAATCAATATGTTTCTCTACAGGATATGTATCCACTTTAAAATTATTATAATTTGATTTATGTATAAGATTTCTATCCTGTAGTACATTAGTTGATGAAGTTGTTGAAAAATGAAAAGTAGTATCATCAATAACGTTATTAGTATTACTTATATGATTATTAGTAGTATTTAATAATGGATTAAAAGAAGTAGAATAACTACCAGTTTCAGTTGTAGAATGAACAGATGAAGATTTTAATTTAATCATTTCCAAATTATTGAGATCACTTTCTATAGGTTGTGGATGACATGATGCAAAGTAAGCCGATAGGAAATTGTCTAAGAATTGACCCTTCTATTAAAAAAAAGATAATAGAAGTATAATGTAAATATATTGACAATTATATCCATATATGTACGACCTGATGTTAACTGCAGATCGATTCAAAGTGTCATTGTAAACAAGTCAAGTTTATTACAGTTAGAGTTACATTGTTTGTGTGAGGGCTAATAATGTAACGCAGTTGACACAATCCAATGTGTGATTATAACCAAAGACTTAAAAGATAACAGTAAAACTAATAGATACGATTAAAAATTCATTCATGAAATAAATACGTTGAAATTAAGTCAGTCAGACAGCTACAATGTAGGACCAGGCACATATATGCATCAGTTCAATTTGCCATACCTCATTAGCACAACAAGATGAACACCGAATTCATAGTAGTTCATTCAATGGTGGTAATATATGAAAGAAAGATTGTATATAAGAATATAGTACAGAAAGAAATAGTTGGCTTTCTCGTTACTCAGTCCAGTTCTAATGGGTCTTCTTAATGTGGTTTTTCTGCGTCCAGTGAGGTGCAAGCAAATGCATGCTCGTATTAGAGCACGATTGGAATCCAAACAGGTACTCCAGAACGAGCGACGGTCTTCTATCGAGCCTCTTCAACGATGACTGATGGCAATATGGTCTGTTTGAGTCTATCGTTGATTTGGTGCAAGGGATCGCCAATTTAGATTATGTCTTTCCTTATGCTTAAAATTAGTGTTTGCTAAAAAGAGCACAGTTACAGCAGATGATCACAATTATCTGTTCGCTGATCGGAGATACTAAAATACCCACCTAAATGACTTTCTGTTTGGTTTAAGCTACCTACTTGGGTATTAAAGTCACCTGCTACGAGTACTATGTCTGAGTTTGAAATTAAGATTTTAGGGGGTTGATTTTCTCAAGTCTGTCAAGTTTAACCTGATATAACAATATTTAGAAATGCATTTTTGTTGAAGAAACTGGTTGTTCACTATGATGGATATGTCGTGAACGAGAATACAAGTGAAGACAATGGAATGTATTTGAATACAAAATTACAGAACATCTTAGTAAAATCTGAGAACAATACAGTAAATACTTTATTTGTAAAATGTCAATCAATTGTCTTAACTCAACTGTTCCTTCTGCAAATATTAGTCAATTATCTCAGACTACATTGTTCCTGCATTTCCATACCAACTGCTTCCTGTCCCCGTTCTTTCTTACTCGTGTGTATTGAACATTTGGAAGCAAATGAACTACAAGTTTGCTAACACCTATCCCATCTCTTTCATCGTTGACATTATGGTTTATGAAGAGAGATTTCATGTTATCACCACCACCCGGAACTATTTGATTCAAATACTCTTGATCAACACAGTGATATGTCTAAACTCCACAAGTTTGCCAATCAATCTATGTATATTTTAATATTTGAGATCATGAGTCAATTGAAGCTAGACCACCATGGAAAACCTGGGAGCACTGACAATAACTACACACCCGATTAGAGTTCATTCCGAATTCAACCCACTGAGGTGCAATGGTGAGCCTCCACCAAGTGTCATAGCATTTCTGATCAGCCTGAACACGGCTCCAGGTAAGTTTACAATATTATTACCAATACTGGGATTATCATTTTGTAGTTAGTCTTACATATCGCATAAAAACATTTCTTTATATTCTCATTCAATCTACAATGTTGATAATTTATGCTGATGTTTACATATGCATAATATATACAACAGAATATAAAAGTAAATGATAAATAGAAGAAATATACGAATGTATAATTAGATTTTATGAATAAATAAACCCATTAAACAATAAATGATTCCGTTTTGTATTGATTATTTGATGAAACTATAATTTATGGACGATCTTTGAGAGACGCTAGACTGACCTTGAGAGTGTCCTACTTAATAACCAGAACCAAATGAAGGTTATAAGCCTCTGTGAGGAATTAGAATTATGATTGCTAGTTGATAATTAAGGTTAGGAATTAGATTTAGTGTTTTCATCACAAACTGACATAAGCTATAATGTCAAAACTTTATTTAGAAAAATGAATGGATAGTTTATTTATTTGTTTATTTAACCACGTTAACATTGGTACAAGGAGGCACCAAATACATATGCGCCACATAAATCATTCGATTTGTGTGAGGGCTGGGATACTGACCGAGTGCCCAGACCGAAGCAGGTGGTTATCCTAGGGGACCACACCCCGAGCATTTGACCTAAAGGCCTAACCCACAAGGCAGTGGAGCAACGTCAGGAGATGCAGTCCCATGGTAGTCGGTCACCAAAAATGGGTTCATACGCCATGTTGTTCCCGCAGGATACTGGAGCCCACGTGCACGATTGGTTTGGGATCCGGTTAAAGCGCCAGACATTCGCTTTTCGTCCTCTCAATTTCGTAAACAACACCCCCGCCACGAGAAGGCAGTGAGTAGGACTTCCCTGGCAGAGGCTATATACGCGTGGCCATGTGAGAGCATTTCGAGAAGGAGGGCGGGCCCACACCACTCTCAACCATACCAGGGCATTCGGGGGCAATGGATGGATAGATTTCGTACCAAATCCCGAGAACTGTTATCTTATACACTTGATTGGTTCGTTTATAAATTATAGTCTCGCCGATTGTTTAAATCTTCTTATTGATGTTTAGGACTTTGATTAATCAGAATTTTATTAACAAATATATGCATTCTGTAGGGATTGACTAATGTCACAAGTAACAGAATACAACACACTTATTTTGTCCTATTTGAAACTGAATAGTTACAGTCTTGAACATAAAATGGGAAGATTAAAACAATGAATATGAAAATGAATTAAAATTCAACACATTTCATAAGCTATTGGTTAATGGAACTTAGTAGTTAAGTTCTTGCTTTAGTTAAACTTATCGAAAACGTTTAGTTCTTTTAATTCATTTATCCTATTCCCTTTTGAATTAAATGTTCCAGGTTAAAACTTGTGATACTGCTTGACTAGTCAAACCGAAGTAGGTGAAGACAAAACTTACTGATTGGAAATAGAAACACAACTGATGCATGCCACTAGTCATGCCGGTTCAAAACATATTTGTGTCCAGTTTTACCTTGTTATGTTACCTAGTACGTACAGATGAGTGTAACTAGATGTGAAACACACTCTGTAGGGGAACGAGTAATACTACGCATACATCCAAATAGAAGGAAGGAAAAGTGAATCGAACTCGTGATATAGTGGCTGGTAATCAAATTCCTTAACCACAGACCTACTGATATACAACTTCATCTATGATTGCCGGGATGTATCTAAATAGCTAAAAAAGAATTAAATCATCATAGGGAAATCTTGAGTAAAACATTTAACATTATTCACCGACTTTGCTTCACGGGCGAGACTATAATTTATGGACGAAACAATCAGATTTACGATAACAGGCCTTGAATTTTGGCGCAAAATTCACTCATCCATATGGTTAAATAGAATTTTGGCATTATAACTGATGTCAGTTCGTGATGGAAACCCTATATCTGATTCCTAACCCTAACCATCAACTGTAAATATTAATCTTAATTCCTCATGCTGGTTGATAACCCTTATTTAGCCGTAGAATGTAGGTGGACATTCTCAAGGTCTATTTAGCGTCACTCAGAGGTCGTTCATAAATTATAGTCTCACCGCTTTACGTTACAACGACAACTTTAGGTAGGCATTACTTAACTACTCATATTCTGATCAGTAGTATTAATCAACGAAGACATCTTTGACACTACCAAACATAAATTATACACACATTTTACAACTAAAAACATTAAAAAAAGTACGAAAGCTTAACATTAGAGAAATGAAACTCCAAATGAATATAATATATAAATGATAAACTAACAACAAAACATAATACTTTTGTAAGCAATGATGGATAGTGGCTAGCAGTGGAATCCAGTTTGACGTGCGTTTCGTCCTATTTGGGACTCGTCAGCTGGATGTATCTGCATCTCAAAGTTGATGTTCACTCCGGGACTCGAACCCAGCACCATTCGCTTCAAACGCCATCGCGTTATCCACTATCCATCATTGCTTACAAAAAGCTTGTGAATTAAGGCAATATATCAAGGCATAAGCACAGTATGCACATATGCCAATAACAGACTGATCAATTGCAGTCTTAAACCTCAATGGGAAGATACAAACCAAACAAGTGAAAACACAATATCATTAACATTACTACATACTACTGATTATATGAATCTTATAGTAATATATTCATCACATGTCATTATTGCTATGGCAGCTAAAATCAATAATCAGCAGACGTAAAGAAAGGCGAAAAACAGGGGGAGAGAGAGAGAGGGAACAACTAAACAAACAAACAGTCATACATAGACATCGATATCCAAATATAAACAAGTAAGTAGTATTAGCAATAAAAGCTAAAATTTAGTTAAATATTTCTACACATACAATAAAACGAATAAGTATTAAAAAAATAAGATTAAAAGGGGATAAAATAAAGGTAGGGGGTGTATAAAAGATAGAGAGGAAATGAAAAACAAGTGTTGTTATGTTATTTAGCAAATAAAAATTTTAATTATTGATTTATTATTAAAGAGTATAATTCCAATATCAAAAGAATTAATTAGACAGATGATTTCCATAGTGAATTGTTTAATTCAAAGGATAACACAATAGCACCTAGCAACTACTTCATTCTAATTCAGGAGGGGGGGGGTGATGAAAAGACTGAAGGTTATGTAGTTTTACTAATAATCAATTCAAAGAATTGAAAACACGATATTGATGATACATTTGGCTTTTGCCAAATTACGTCTCCTATGGCGAAGTCGATATATCTGTCTATCAATTAGCGGATGACTATACTGCGCTGCAGTTCGTTTTATTTTACTTTACGGTTGCAAAACGTGGCCTTTAAGAACAGATGATATTCATAAGCTACAAGTATTTGACCACAGATGTCTTAGAAATATTGCTCACATCTGCTGGGATCATCAAGCAAGTAATAGTGAAGCTAGACGCAGGGTATTAGGGAATGATGATGGGAAATCAGTTGATGAAGTTGTGAATCTTCATCGATTGAGATGGTTGGGCCACCTGTTACGTATGCCTCAACACCTATTACCACGACACGCAATGCTGACTAGTGTAGGGGATGGTTAGAACGAAGTTAGGGGCAGCTAAACCAAAACGTGGCATCACTCCACAAAGTCAATAACTTCTAGTGTGAGCCATGTTGATAGATGCATACTACTTGGTTGGAGTCCGCGTGACTATCTTAACCAATGGTTAGAGACTCTGGATGACATGGCTCCAAATCGATCACAATGGTGTGGGTGTATACACTCTCTATCTTCTATTCAATTATACGATTAAAATCACTTCATATCTTTCTTTCTACGAGCTAATTCTTTCTTCCTGTACTATAGCCATACATAAAATCTGTCTTTTATATATTACACCATTGAGTTAACCGCTTCTATCAATCCGGTGTTCATCTTGTTGTGCTAATAAGGTATGGCAAGTTGAGCCGCTGCACATATGTACCTGATCCTACGTTGTACCTGACTGACTGATATTTGTAAACCTGAGGAGAGATGAACTCGAAGAAACTCATAAATTGATCAGAAATATACTGAACAATATCAAATGTAGAAAGGGGGAAGAATCAGAAAATAAAATGACATAAAATATTCATTCAATCAATCAGTTAGTTGTTCATAGACACATATGGATGAGCAACCATAAGCACAAGCATTGTATAAAATGTGTGAAATTTATCTAATCTTCTTTTTTACAGTGTTCAATAAGAGTGTATCATATATCTAGTAGGTGTGAACAGAGAAACAAAGAAGCCATGATATACAACAGAAGCTATTTTTAAGGGACGTTATTTCACTTAACATAAGCTTACGTCTGATGTATGATTCACTGCCATATTTTTCCTTTGTACTAAAACTATTGTAAATTAAATGTAACCTTTTGTACTCGATTCTTCTTTAACCTGATGCTTAGTCTGTATGCGATTGTACTTTTCTAATTGTTTGTGAGTTGTGGTCATGTTGGTGATCTATTTATACACGAATTTGGATCGAGAATCTGGAGTAAATCTAGTAGTGTTCCAGTTGACTCATATCTCTTTTTCTCTCTCTAGCTTGTCAGTCAGTCAGCTACAACGTAGTATCAGGCATATATATGCAGTGGTCCAAGTTGACATACCTCATTAGCACAGCAAAATGAATGCCGGATTCATAGAAGTAGTTAATTCGATTGTGATCATATATTAAGTAAAGATTGCATATAAGGATATAGTACGGTAGCTTGGCAACCAATTACGTGATAGAATAGTTTTTATCTCTCTACCTAAGGCAACTAGTTTCAATTCGGACTCATGCAGCCTTGCCTCAATGTTAAGCCAGTTAACCTCTCGTGTCAGGAGAGATAAGATAAATTATTTTCTGTATACTAGTAGTAGACAGATCAAGAACATAACACTAGTACTTTAGAGAATTCTTAGTCATTTAATTGGTCAACACTGTAAATAAGTGCAAGATATTCACCGAGGAATTTGCTTTGGTTTTCTAGAATTTATGTATTTATGTCTGTAATGGATTCAAATTTGTTGGATGAAAAAAAGCAAATAAACTGAAAGTTGGTGCATACCTAACTGAATTGGTTGAAGCATCAAAGGCAAAAAGAAATACAAAAACATGCTAGAAGTTATGCATAACTTTTTAAGAAAATTCCTTGAAAATTTAGAAAAACATACTGCGGTGTATGTTACTTATGTTAACAGATATAAGTAATATATAACATCAGTCGGAAGTAGAACGCCTAGCAGCAGATGGAATAGAAGAGAATGGAAACAGAGAGAGTAATTGTAATAGCAATAAAGGGACGATGAAAATTGAGACAATTGATGGAGGAATTACAAATGAAGTATTTAATGTATGTATGTATGTATGGTGCACATGGACTTCAGGATCCTAAGGAAATAAATAGCATATGAACCTGTTATTGGTCATCGGCTCCTATGGGATTGCATCTACTGACATTGCTCTGTTGCCTTGTGGATTAGACCTTTAGATCGAAGGCTCCGAGTGTAGTCCACTAAGAAAACTACGTGGTTCGATCTGCGCATCCGGGCAGTATCATAACCCTCACACACAAACCAAGTGACTTGTGTGGCACATTTATGTGTTCAAATAAATAAATAACGAAAGAATTCTGTAATTTTGTGTTAAACAATGAACTGATTGTCTCCACCTGAGTGTTTATTCACAACAATATGACATTTTACTCTTAGCGAATTGTATGTTTTTGGAAGATCTTTTGAAAATCCAGTCAATAAAAGTAAAATAATAACGACAAACTTCATGTAATCAATCCGAAATGAAGTAACGCTTGTAATATTTTGTTCAACATTCAAAAAAGTAATGACGGATAGTATGTCTGCTATTGAAAACCCAAATAAAGGCGTGTCTATAATTTTAATTTAATTGGGAATGAATTCAATTAACTCGTTATTGATATTTTAATTAAATACTAATCAGTCTTGTTTGATATATGTGAATTCTATCCAGATTGTCTCGATATAATCGATTAGTTAACGACATCTCTAAGATAGAAATTTATCCAGTTGACAAGTCTCGTATAGAACAAAACGCGTGTCCTGAATTCCACTGTTAGCTACATACCATCTATGCTATACTAAATTGTGTAGTTAAAAATAACTTTTATGCAACTATACAGTGAATTAGACATAGTTAATAGATTAAATTACTAGAATTATGCGCAAATTTCATTTGAGTGTGTATGATTTGATTCAGAGCAAAATTAACACACGTAACTCTAACATTCCTAAAAGCAACCCCTAATATTAGTAATCTTAACCCTTTAGAACTGATTGATCGCTGAGCAGTGATCGATGTCAATTAAAGAACTTTTAGTGTTTATAGAAAGAGCCAGAAAACATCAGATCTCTTAGAATCGCAGGCACACTTTCCTAAAGAGTGTGAAGTAAGATTTATTGTCGACTATAACCAAATACAATCCTCACCACAATTACTGACTCTAACTCCGAGACTAGCTATCCTAAACCTTGACCATTCGTCGCTTAGTCATCTTGCTGGAACTATTTACTCATCAAGATTTCATTACTTATGATTAACAGTTTTCTTTTGTAATGAGAAACCATTTTCTAGTTGAGGGATAAACCGGTCAGAATGGTCACTAAAATATGGTTTTATTATTGATTGGTCAACTATCCATATTATTATGAGTATTAGTTTCTTTTACACAAGAATCTAGAGCTTCAACGTCATGGTTAACCTACATATTTCCTGACTCATGAGAATAAACTACAGTTGGAAGTAAACATTATAGTCATAGATACCCCTCTATGGATTGGATTTTTACGGCCCAAATGTCAATGACTATGGCAATCTAGAAATCGAATGTGAATTATTATCATACCCGGTTTTGTATGCACATTATTAGATTTCAAAACCGATTTTGGTTAGTGAACTTCGGACTAGCAGTATAGAAAAATCCTTAAAACAAAATTATTTGAGGCATGTTGAGTCATTTTAAAAAGTATTATTTGACCTTAAATGGACACTGACAATGTCTAGAATCATTATCGAAGTTTCTCAGTCAGTTAGTAACAACGAAGAACTTCGTACGTATGTACGTACGTACATCAGTTCGAGTTGTCATACCACATTAGCACACAGACACAATTGTCAATTCAAATCCCATAGTGGTAGAGGTAGTAAAAGTATAAGCAGTAATAGGAAAGATTAGGGTTTGAAGATGTTATTCAAAGAGTATAATTCAGTGAAATAAATTTGGAAAGAGAAAAAACAAAGGGACATGGAGAATTCAGAAGATTAGAATTTGGGTGAACACAAAGATTGGATGCACCTGTGTTATTCCATTGCAAACGATTTTGAGCCGTGTCATCGTCAGTCAGTCAGTCAGCTACAACGTAGGACCAGGCACATATGTGCATCGGTCCAGGTTGCCATACCGCATCAGAACAACAAGATGAACACCGGATTCACAGCAGTGGTTAGGTCAAAGGTGGTAATATATAAGAGAAAGATTGCATATAGAGATATAGTACAAGAAGAAAGAATTGGCTCGTAGAAAGAAAGATATGAAGTGATTTTAATCTCTTAGTTTAAGGGAAGACAGGGAGTGTATACACCGACGCCATTGTGATCGATTCTGAGCCATGTCACCAGAAGTCTCCAACCATTGGTTACGATAGTCACGCGGACCCCAACCAAGTAGTCTGTATCTACCAGCATGACAAAGACCAGAAAAGTTAGTGACTTCAAGCACTGATGCCATGTTTTGGTTTGACCGCCGCTAATTCTCTTCCAACCATCTCTAACACTCGTGTCATTCAAGGTCTCTAACCATCGGTTGCTATAGTCTGGCGGATCCCAACCAGATAGTAGGTATAGACCTACCAACATGGTTTAGTTCACCTGTCCGGGGAACTTAATCGAAGCTTCCGGAATGGAACCATCTATTTTATAAAACTCAAAATCCCTTGTTGACATATATATATATATATATATATATATATATATATATATAATAAAACGAAATAACACCCCGTTCAACTTACCTCTTTGGTTAATTTTAAAGGAACCGATTTGACTAAACGTCCTAAATTCAATTCAAATATATTTGTATTGAATGGTTCATTTGATGTTAAAAAGCTGTATAATAATTTGCTATTCCGAAGGAATGGTTGAGCAATCAAATACTACAAATGCGATATAGATAAAAGAAAAAAAACAATTAGATATTGTACTATGAGAAAAGTTTAATTAACTAATGCGGGGTTCGAACCTATATACAAGCACTTTTAAAATAAGAATCAACTGCGGGACTAGATAATTTTAGGTGAATGACATTAATATTATTGAATAACTAATGTACAACAAGACAATGGGCAGAAAGGTTGAATGTTTTGTGTGAGAGATTAAAAGGTGTTTACACAATACTTATACATTGTCTTCGGTCTGCCATCGTGCAGTGTGTTCAACAATCTGAACTGTCTTCTCATATGATCTTTAAGTGTACTGACTACGCCGTGCTTTTAGTCTACTGAAACTATTCCTCCCGTCTGACGACTGTGACAGCTTCTGGCTACGTTCCGCACATACTATTTACAAGCAATCTTGTGAGGAGCGTCCAGCACATTATTATACAGCATCTAGTTGGATAGTTATTTACAGAATCCATTTTCAAACAGAAATATTTACGAAGGACAAGATGATTGGAATTAAAGGAGGAAATTCTATGCGAATCTTTTAGAGTGAATATTAGCTTTATATAACACTGTAATAGCCAAGAATAGAAAGAAAAATGAGTGTATCACTATTTATGGGTAATATCAGATAGAAATGTTTAGATCGCTGAAATTCGAAGTGGCATAGTTTGAAGATTATTCCGTTCACCAATTGATATTAACCTGAGTATTCATTGACCAATCATCAAATGTATATATGTATCATACATAACCTAACTACCTCAGAGATAACATCTCAACACTGTATGTTCATGGTTGATACAAGTTGGAATAACACCCACACGCACCCACACACATTTACACAGAGCATCACTTCATTCAAGATTAAATGGAAGGCTTGTTGACCAGTGTTAATTAACATAAAACCTAAATTCAGTAGAAATACCTCTTGACTATTATTAGTCAGATTTAGGTTTTCAAGAGTTATTTTTAATAATACTAATTAGTAATAATAACAAAACTATTCAAATTTCATATAGTTTTTCAAACAAATTAATACGATGCATAAACAGATTGGTTAGGCAGAGGGTAATGTTTATTATTTATTTATTTGAACACGCAAATATTGGTACAAATGGGCACCGAATACATAAGCATCACACTAGTCATTTGATTTGTCTGTGGCTTGTGATACTACCACGGTGCCCAGACCGAACCACATGATTTCCTTAGGGAGCCACTCGCTGAACCTTTCATCTAGAGGTTTGATCCATAAGGCAATGAAGCAACGTAAGAAGATACAGACCCATGGTAGCCGGTCACAACGATTCGTTCATACGCCATTTGTTTTTGTAGGATCCTGAATCCATGTGCACTATTGGTTTGCCATGAGGGTTTTCCAACTCACCTAGATGGATCTTCATTATCCACCAACCCAGTTAAAGCACCGGACATTCATTTTTCATTCGCTTAATTCCGCTAACAACACTCCTGGCACGAGAATGCAGTGCATAGGACATCCCTGTCAATGGTTGTATGCACGTGATCATGTGAGAGCATTTGGAGAGAGAGAAATGATTCTCTCCACTCTCGGCTGTACAAGGGCATTTAGATCGGTGCTGCATACGTATAAGAGCATAGAATACCATTTAAGACTTTGTTTGATTATTAATAGCTATTTAGATGCCTTCTATGAACACATCGCTATAGCGTACCCTAACTTGTTGAATGAAAAAACCCCCCATCCGCAGTCGTACCGAGGCATTTTTGTGTGTGGGGGGGGGAGGCGTAAGACAAAATTTGAAATACCCAAGAACACTTCGAAATCCACAAAAAAATTATTATTATTATTATCATGTCAATAAACAATAAATATTTATTAAATTGAAAAAGGACAAGGACAAAGAAGAAATGACCGGATAGAACAATGAGTAGGGAAAGGAAAAGGGAGAGAGAGAGAGAGGGAGGGAAGGGAGTAAACAATCCATAAATAAATACAGATAAATGTTAAAACAAACGAACGAATTATCCTCTAAGGTTATACACACATATATATATACATATATATGTGATTCAAGATTCTATTCCATTTCTTTTTTCCTTCACATAAGCTCTTCTCTTCTTAATCGCCTCATTGGAAATATTTATGAATCTGTCATAATTAATTAGAACATTTACAACTCAAATAGTAGTCAAATGTAAATGCTCATAATAAAGCAGGCAATAAATCCGATGACGATGATGATGAATGAAGTCTTAATTAGAAGCTGGACGAATGACCAACGAAGTTGATCTTTTTCAATTACCTCTACAACATTTATTTTATAGGTATTTTTATTGTATATGTAACAATGTTAGTTTGTGAACTCCGTATGTAGCTCAGTTTCAAGCCCGAATAAAGGAGGGGAGTTGAGCATGGTGTCAACAACTACACCCATAAGAAAACCTTTCCAAAAAAGCGCTAACTAGAACAAAAAATTTAAGCCATTTAAACTCTGCCCTAGGAGTTGAGGAGATGGGATATAAATTGCAGAGATCATCAAATTGCATCAGGACGAAAGCTTTAACTTGGAATTCGGAAGGGAAACGGAGAAGAGGAATGTTGAGGAACATACTATGTCGGAGATTTGGAAGCAGACATCAAAAGGATGAATAGTAACTGGAAAGGATTATCCAGTACAGAGTTGAATGTAGAATGCTGGTCGGCGACCTATGCTCCTCCATGAGGGGTAACAGGTGTAAGTAAGTATGTTAGTCTATTAAATGAACAGTTCATTCTAATAGATAGTTATCTTATCTGTTGATGATCAGTTTGATTGAAGGTTTACGCTGAAAATTCAATCTTTATTTATAAACGAAAGAGGATCCATCTGATAGGTTAAAACGAAAAAAAAAGGAACTGGAATAGATTATAGGTCAGTTGCACACCACAACAATTCAAGGTTATCAGGAAAAGACGATGGAAATTGATAGGACACACATTACGCAAATCATCAAACTGCATCATGAGATAGGCGCTAGCTTGGAATCCTGAAAGGAAGTGGAAAAGAGGAAGGCCAAAGAACACATTACGTCGGGAAATAGAAGCAGATATGAAAAGGATGAATAACAACTAGAAAGAGCTGGGAAGGATTGTTAGGACATGGTTCGATGGAGAGCACTGATGGGTGGCCTATACTCCTTCACAAGGACTAACAGACGTAAGTAAGTAACTATATTATTCCCATAACTTCGTTAAATTTCCATCGTGTCGTGCTAATCAGACACATGGTAACTTTAGTCAACGTACATCCGTGCAGGTTTTATTATAATGATGTGTCCATCTGTCAATCTAACTGCATATGATCATAATTAACACGGTAGTTCGTTTTAGCATATTAATCGACGAATTTCTGTAGGTATGTGTACTTCTGCGAACATTTCCTAATAACTATTATCTTACGAGGACCGTTAAGAAAGGTTCACACAATGCCGTTTTGCTAACTTGATAGGAGGAAGCTGTTGAAGTCTAGATAAACTTCACTTCATGTTATCTTCAGAAAGATATATCTTTGTCACTCCCTATATAAAGTTATTCAAATCCCAAGATCGAAAACGTAGTATTATTTGGGTTGTTACAAATAAGAAATGTATCATCAACATGTCTAAAGTAAGATTTCATTTCCTCAATCATGTGTTTTAATTTCATTTGTTAATTGTGAAGATAAAGAGTGAGTGTATCTAGGCCACTGCAACCTATCATGTGATACATCATTTAAAGACCGCAACAATATTGGATATAATAACCCCAAGACATTACAATATTTTCACACCAAGAAAAGTGATCAACCTGTTTGTGTATCTAAGTTGCTGCATAAATGATGATGGTGACGTGAGTGATTAAATCATAAATGCAAGACGTTGCTTCAAGACTGCACAGGATAAGTACCTGAATTATTAATACGGAGTGAAACAATTGAGCGTGTCACTCAATTCACTCATCTTGAAAATCTCATCAGCTCTTGTGGCTTTATTTCTGAAAAAATATCGCAACAGATAAGAGCTCGTATGGCCTTTGTCAACTTGCGTCACTCGTAGTCTATGCGAGATAATCTCCTCTCGATCTACAGGAGGAGTATATTAAGCAGCAGTTTTCTCCATACTACTTTACCAGTCTGGAACTTTTTTTTCAAAAATAGAGGATATCCATAGGTTGCTAGTATTCGTAAATAGGCGTCTTCAACGTATCATTCGTGAATTTTGATACCAACGAATAACCAATGCTATGGTTGAGAATACGGTACTAGATAAATATGGCAAGTCGATTGATGAGATGGTGGGTCTTCATCAACTAAAATGATTGAGACATGCAGCATCACGTATGGAAAATCACCGACTACCTCGATGGACAGTGTTGTCTGATATAGGAATAGACTGACAGAAAGCTAGGGACAGATAAACCAAAACGTAATACCAGTTCATGAAGTCATTAACAATAGGAATGAGACATATTAAAAGGTGTAGATCACTTGGTTGAGATTTGTGTGACTGTCGTTAAAGTCCTAACATCTTCTTATATCATTTATTCTTCTTTCGATAGTTCATCTATTCTCTTCTTTACTCCTACACTACACTACGTAAGTATGATAAGTTGAATCAATGTATATATGTATCAAATTCTATGTGCTGTATGACTGATAGATTGAAACAGACAAACAACAACAACAACAAGATTTAACTATTTACCTGTAAATAACTTTGAAATATATCACATTTACTTTCAAGAAATTCCATTGTACGTGGGGTTAATTGACGTTTTGGTAATTGTTTGATTATTAATGTACCATGAAATTCAATTAATTTTTGTTCAAGTACATAGAATTCAGAATATTTTCTAAAGAAAAAAATAAAAAAAAAGGATAAAAATCACGTAGAGATTTACGTGAAATTATTAAGTTTTCGATTGAGATCATGAACTGGTTGATGTTAGACCACCATTGAAAATCTGGAAGCATTAGACAGCCGTTTCGCCTTATTGTGGGACTCCTCAACAGTGCATATCCACGATCCCGCCTCGCGGGATTCGAACCCAGAGCCTTCAGTTTTGTGCACGAACCCTTAACCTCTAGACCACTAAGCCGGCATCCAATGGTGTTAATGTCTAACCTCAACCAATCCACAAAATTGCGCAACCATCTTTCATTTTACTGAAGTAGATACCGGTCTCTACTCGACACGGATTAGCTCCACTGGTCACGGCTTCCCACAAGAACTCCGAGAATTCCCCCACGAAGCTAGTCATTAGCGAGCACGTGCTGAGGAGTCCCACAATAAGACGAAACGACCGTCCAGTGCTTACAAGTTTTCAATGATGGTTTAACATCAATCAGTTCATGATCTCACGGTTTAAAGGAAAGCGAAGAGCGTATACACCTACGCCATTGTGATCAATTCTGAGCCATGTTATCTAGAGTCTTCACATAGAGAAAGAGAAAGCTTGATTCTATCATGAACTTTGAAAAATCAAATAAACAAATGAACAGTATTTACTTCATCATGATAACTAGCGCGCACATGACCTGCAGTTAGTGGAGTCTGTGGTGAGGAATGTACTACCTGAAGAGGTTTCAGGGGTACATATTACAAAAGTAATACGACTTGGTAAATGGGTTGGAGGCGAGACCCAACCAAAAAGGATCCTGAAGCTGGTTCTCAGGAGTTTCGAAGAAACAGACATATTATTGAAAAGCGCACTAAAAACTCGTGCCTCAAATATCCGTATTCGACCAGATTGGCCGCTTGAGGATCGAATCAAGTGGAAGAATGCTCTTACGGAGTTGAGGACTCGCAAATTAAATGGCGAAAATAACCTTACCATTAAGGGTTTTCGGGTAGTCAGGTCTTGGAAGCCAATGCTTCCGAGGCCTGTATGGGTAGAACGATTGATCTCCAAAACACCTTAAGGGTGTGCTACACGAACGCTCGTAGTCTTAGAAATAAAACGTCCAAGCTAAGTCTGATGGTGCAAGAATTATGTCCCGATATAATCGTTGTTACAGAAACTTGGTTCACCGTTGATATAGACTGTTCTCCTTTCATTGCTGGTTATATCTGTATCAGAAGTGATAGAGTTTCAAGTCGCAAGGGGGAGGTATAATATTATACGTTGGGGATCACTTTCGTATACAATCAACCATATCGGAGGCTCATATCAGTGGCACATGTGAGGTTGCATGTTGTAAGATTAAATCTAGAAATGGGTTAGTGACTATAGGGGGAATATACCGTAGTCCGTCTTGTCTGGCTGACGACTTTATCCTAAGACACATCTGTTCTTGGAGTATGGCAGAATGTTGTCTCATCATTGGGGACTTCAACGCACCGCATATCAACTGGATAGAGCTTACAGCTCCAGGTAGTGGTTTCGATAGCGACCTTTTATCTACCGTTATTCAGTGTGCACTTGTACAATGTATCACAAAACCGACACATATTGATTTGCAACATGTTCCGTCACTGCTGGACCTCGCCCTCACCCACCATTGTGAGGATGTCTTTGATATCCAGCACCTTCCTCCACTAGTGAACAGTGATCACGTTGTAATTCACTTTAAGTTTAGGACGCATGGTATACAATTCGTATCTGCTCCACCCCGTCCCAATATCTGGCGAGCTAATATTCCGGAAATCAGAAACCGTGCTATCTTGACCGATTGGTCGGTCGACGCGGATGGATTGATCGAAGATGAATGGAATAAGTTTAAGGCTACATTCGAGTCCGTAACGTCGCCGTTTATCCCATGGTCAGCACGTAAGCTATCACATTGCCCTCCATGGATTAATAAGGAAACCCGGAAGCTGTTAAAGCGTAGGAAACATTTCTGGGACTTATTCTTGTTGACAGGTCATGCACCATTTAAGCGTGAGTATCAAAAATACCGTAATATCTGTAAGAAAACCATAGCGAAATCCCGTACCACTTACGAACGACAGTTAGTATATGATAGCCGTACTTGTTCGAAACGATTGTTTTCGTATGTTAAACGGCAAATGAAACGTAGTGATGGTATTCCCCCGTTGCTGTTACACGAAAATTCAGAATTACTAGCTGAATCAGATCGAGCAAAAACTGAGACTTTTTCGGATTATTTTAACGAAGTCTTCTCTACGTTTATTGTAACAAATACTTGTCCCACTCACACCGAGATACCAACCATTGAATCTGTACAGGTGACTGAGGAAACTGTCCTTCCGTTGATAACTAACCTCAAACCTGGTAAGATACCGGGCCCTTACGGGTTACATCCACGGTTGCTATCATCTCTTACGGACATTATTTCAAAACCGATTGCGACACTCTTCAACATGTCCCTCTCACTCGCTCAACTCCCTAGAGATTGGAAGGACGCTATAGTTAGTCCTATATTTAAGGACGGTCAGCGACAGATAGTATCTAACTACCGGCCTGTCAGTCTAACTAGCATAGTCGTTAAGTTACTCGAAAAGATAATTCGGGTTAGGTTGCTAAGCCACATAGATTCACACAATCTGTTAGCTCCTGAGCAACACGGATTTCGTAACAAGCGTTCTTGCTTGACTAACTTGCTTATTGCGAGGGAGGATTGGACAGCAGCCCTAGATCACGGTCTGTCTGTCGACGTGATATTCATAGATTTTAGCAAAGCGTTTGACAAGGTTTCACACGTAGGTCTTATGCAGAAGCTCACGAGCTTCGGAATAATAGGTACTGTACATGAGTGGATAGGAAATTTCTTATGTGACCGCAGACAGAGAGTTAGGGTCAATGGAACGCTATCCGATTGGAAGCCGGTCAAAAGTGGTGTACCCCAAGGCACCATCTTAGGCCCTCTGCTCTTCCTTCTCTACGTTAATGAGTTACCACTGTTACTTAGGTCGTCGACATTATTGTTTGCAGATGATGTAAAAATCTGGAGAACAATAAAAAGTGCGGCTGATCATGTGGATCTTCAAGCTGACTTAGACGATTTAGTTAGATGGGCTCGAGAGTGGGGCTTAGAAATCAATGCTAGGAAGAGTGTACTAATGCACGTCGGTCACGGTAATAGTTACCGTTACACTATTGAGGGTAAACCTCTTCCATGCGTTCAAGAGCATAAGGACTTAGGAGTAATATTAAGTCATGACTTAAAAACAACTGCGCATTGCAAAGCAGCCGCTGTCAAAGGTTTTCGTGCGTTATGGTCACTTCGCCGAGCGTTCAAATCTTTTGACGAGGAAACGTTTCGAATTTTATATCCCATATATGTTAGACCACATTTAGAGTACTGTATCCAAGCAGCTAGCCCGTGTCTAGTAAAGGATACTAACTCCCTTGAGCGTGTCCAGCGTGTGGGAACGAAATTAGTGAAGGGTCTTTCTAGACTCCCTTACGATGAGCGCTTAAAACGCCTAAATCTTTTCCCCTTATCGTATCGTAGGACACGAGGTGACCTTATACTGGCATTTCGTATCTTTAATTATGATTTGGGTGTTAATATGTCTTATCTTTTTGCTCCCTCCAGCACTAATAATCTCCGAGGTCATAGCAAGAAGGTTCATAAACCACGATCTAATAAACTTAAAGTGGGATCCCGTTTTTCTCATCGAGTAGTCAATCATTGGAACGCCTTACCCGAACAAGTGGTATCAGCCCCATCAGTGAATACTTTCAAGGAAAAGCTGGACCTTCACTGGAAAGCAATGTGTCAGGATTAACACAGGTTCATCAACCTACTATCCTTATTACTGAAGACTGAAGACTGACTGAAGACTTTATGTATATAAAATCGAACAAAATGTTGACATTTCATCTTACAATTAACATAATACCTCTAAACTATGGAAGATTTAAATTGTTTAAGCTGTATAGTTTAATCACAGAAAATTTCATTATCTAATAAGTAACATTCCCATTGGGTGTAGAGGAAAACGCATAATTGTTATAAACACTAGGACTGTATATTAATTTAATCTATGATACTTAATAAAATTTATAAATTTCAATGAGCAAATATAATTTATCAGTATAGGGGTTTTTGAGTTTTGATCGCGATCATGAACTGCTCAACGTTAAACCACCTTTGAAATCCTGTAAGCCATGAACGACCGTTTCTTCCTAGTATCGGACTTCTCAGTAGTAGACACCCACGATTCTGCGACCTTCAGTCTCGTGACAACGCTTAATCACCAGTAGAGTTCAACCGTGTGGAATTTGAAGCAGTTACCAACCAAAGACAATGGAAAATGGTCACACAATATCGTGGATTGGTTGAGGTTAGACATTAACACCATTGGATGCTGACTTAGTGGTTTGAATGTTAAGTGTTTGTGTGAGACTAAAGGTCCTTAATTCAAGTCCCGTGTGAGGGATCATGTATGGACACCGATAAAGAGTGCCATACTCGGATGAAACGACTGTTCAGTGCTTCCAGTTTCTCAATGATGGTCCGACACTGATCGATTCATGATCTAAATAGTATAATTTTACTTATTCTTCAAATCAATTCGTCAATGAAATCGATTGAATATTACCTGTAAAAAGTTGGGAGAAAATTTTCAGCTCAAATAGATGTATTTAATGGTGATGAGTACTATGAGTTAAAATGATTTAATTGTGAAGCATTCATTATTTATCCTGAATAACATCCTTATTATTCGCTTCATTTAGAAATGAGATACTTAGTTATTCCACAAGTATTATATCAGGTTATTTCATTTACCTATGTTAATTTTTACTCTGATTGTTAGAATCGGGGCATTAACCTCGTGATTTCCGAAGAATCTCGGCATTCATCATGAGGAGTCATAATTATTATTAATGAGGATCCTTCAACTCACAATGCAGAGTTCAAATGGTTTAAGTGATGTTTCTGGTTAGTGTTTTTTTAGCAAGGATTTTTTTTCCACGAGATCGTTCTACTAACTTCATGTCCAACCTACTTCATTTATCCGAGCTTCGGACTGACAGTAATCCTAGAAGGGCTCCGGGTGTACCTGGGCATTATCATCAATAAACAAGGTAGATCTGAAACAGATATGAAGAAACGGATTGACAAAGCAAGACCAATATTCCTAAACTTGAAGAGAATCTGGAACTCAATACGACAGCCAGTCAACATCAAGGACAGAATTTTCAATATGAACGTTAAAATAGTTTTGTTATATGAAGCTAAAATTTGGAGAACCAATACAATCATCATCAAAAAACTGCAGGTACTTGAATATTACGTATTTTTTACTACATAAGCTGAGTTGGATTATATCAAATTGTTCAGCTTTGAACATCAAATTTTTATGCAAAGATGGAGTGAAGTTTAAATTCACTTGGTAATGTTTACTTGAATCTTCCCATTGATTATCTCATTGCACAAGCAAGTAGCTATCAGGACTCAGTAGCTAAATGGATAACGCGATGGCATTTGAAGCGAACGGTACTGTGTTCGGGTCCCCAAGTAAACATCGACTCGGAGATGCAGATACGTCCAGATGAAGAGTCCTAAGTAGGACGAAACGCACGTCCTGGATTCCACTACTAGACACTATCCATCTTTGTATATAATGCTCGTGAATTAAAGCTATATTAAGGCAATAACAGACTGACCAATTGTAGTTCTAAATAACAATGAGAAGACTCAAATAAACAATACCAAGTGAATAAAATGTTGACTTATAATTGGTCTTCTATAGTTTGTGGTTTATTATTGTGAAATAATGTGTGTCAGCTTCCGTTATCCAGTTCGAAATAGGACTGCTCGTATTAGAGTAGTTCAATTATCCCCTTAATACATAAGTGTTGTAGGCTATCAACTAGAAACTGTTAGCGCTAGAACCCTCCCAAGTCGCAAATGAGAAGACAGAAGAAGTGCTTGATGAGTAAGAATCAAAATGTACAGAAAATCATGGGTATCTATAGATATTAGCGTTGTTTAAATCAACATTATAATTCAACCAATCCGCAAAGTGGTATGTCATACTACTGACCAATAGTAGCATGCCATGTTGATATTCTAGAAAGCACCGTTACGTTCTGATTGGATGAAACTCTGTGACTCTTCTAGGGACTCTGAAGGCTCTGTGGTAGTTCTCGACAGCCGTTCCAACAGAAACTTCAATAGGAAAATGTTTTCGTTTTATCAAGACATAACAAAAACAACAACAACAATCCGACGTATAAAATTTACTCACCTTGTTACTTTAGCCACTTGTCTACGTACTCCATTGATAACAATATCAGTAATAACATTGAACATAAACTGTGTTGAAAGTTGTGGTAATGATGATGATGAAACAAATGAATTATTATATATAGATGGATTAATTAAATTATTTAATTCATTTGATATTTTATTTCGATAGCTTATATCACGTACAGCTGTTGTAGATGATGAAATTGGAGTTGTCATAGTATTATTATTAATAGTATTCGATAAAATATTCCTATTCATTGATGCTGGTAAATGATTAGTTTGATTAGAATGTAAATTCGTTATTCCAAGTGTTGTTGTTGATGATAATACAAGTGGGTTAATGGTGGATGTAGTAATTAAACCTAATGGATGACGATTATTCGATTGAGTTACAACTTCAGGACGTGATAAACCACGTATATATACATTACATTGAGATAAATCTAATTGTTGTGTTGTTTCCGGTAAATGTTTTATACCGATGACATGTTGATTTGTAAGTAATTCGTCGTTGACAGCAGTAGTAGTAGTAGTGCCAGTATTAGTATAATATCGATTAGATCGATTAGTTTGATCATTGAGAATATTACCAAACCGATCTTTTTGATTACGACGCATTGACGAAACTGAGAGTTTGGATGAGTCCAGATTCCCGAAAAATTGTCCATCAGCTGGAAAAAAAATACCGATATAAAACGTATTTTGATATAGATGTACTTTAACAGAATATAATTCACATATAAATTCGAAATATCCAGTGAATAATTCAATATACTGAGTGAAATGTAGTGTTGAGTGCCATGGGACGCCAATATAACTTATTCTAACATTTCGACAGATCAATTCATACATTCTTCTTCATTAGTAGCATTTTCACCTTGTTAATTATTATTATATCAATCTTGGAAGCTTTAAGTAAGAGTATATGTGCGCCTTTATTATCTTACTCATCACATGCCTATAACTGATTTCAAACTAGGCTACACCACAGATTTTGTAACCAAAAATATACAGTTTCTCGTTGATCTTAGGTACTCCATGTGCCTTTACCTGTTATCTTTGGACATCCTAAATTATTATTTCAGTATTCTGTCATTCATTTACCATCATTTACGTGGTCCCACCTCTACCTTTTGTAACCTATAATGAGAAGAAATTTCTTAAGCTATTTTGTATTACACTGCAATGTTGCATTTTTCGACTACTGTTATTGACGCTTTTACAATAAGATTATTATTCCTTCATCCGTTTCACATGCTTCATTTGTGGCTACTTTCGTCCACGTTCTTGTCTATTTATTCCATGTTCCTCACTTGTTATATGTACAATATTCAATCATCATGTCAGTTTAGGGATTGCACTTCTCTTGTTGATGTACTTGACATAAAACAAGTGCTCTTCTATCACAGACATCATTGATATACATCGCCTCGTTTCTGCTCTCATGGTCAAATGTTGTCCTGTTTTTCGGTATGATCATAAATCTATTCTTTCGTCACATTGTGCTTCCTCGATTCCTTGTCTCTTTATAATTAGTCACGGAGAGGGCCTATGAACGGTCTGTGGTGCGAAATTTATTCTTTAAATTCGTCCTCATCTGCTAGTGGCTCCCGAATTACGGACCCTCTTGCCTGTCAGTTGTGTCAGCATACGCTAACAAAGTTGCCGCTTTGAATCAGTGCAACCAATACTGAAATAATAATTTAGGACGTGCAAAGATAACAGGTAAAAGCACACGGAGTTTCTAAGATCAACGTAAAACTGTGTTTTTTGGGTTGCAAAATCTAAGGTGTAGCCTAGTTTGAAATTAGATAAGAGGTTTCTAAGTAGTAGGCGCAGCAACGATATATACAAAGAAGGATATAGAAAGGATGATAGAATACTGGAGTCATAGTTATTCGCGCTCAGTGAAAAGAACTCCACTTATATATGATATGCGCAATATTCATAATTTTCATAGTTGTAGTGAGAAATGTTAACTACCCGAGTTCAATCATATCGGGAGCAAGACATACAACGCCGACTGTAATGGATACTGGTTGAGCAATATAACTAGTTGACTATAGAATAGGGAGGTTTTGAGGAATTGTAGACTTTTCATAGTTTAAATTAACAAGGTTACCTATTTGAAAACAGGACATTGGTTTGAAAGTTAAGCGTTTGAGAGTGAAATCAAACGTGTTGGTTATTAGACCTAGTGGGGAATACGGATACAAAATTCTGAGTCCCATAACAAAAAGAAACAGCTATTTATTGTTTCCCGGTTATATATATATATATATATATATATATATATATATATATATATATATATTCATCTTGATAAGATTGATGACTTAAACGACTAAAATTCTACAATCTCAACAAGCACTCTTATATTCATATTAATCATTTCCTCCAACATCGGATTTCTGAAGTTCTAAAGGAGAAGCCGTGGCTAATCAAGTTCAACTACGCTGAGTATAAGACAATCATTCATCACAGACAATAGAAGATAGTTTTGGAATATTGTGAACTAATTGTGTAATGTTAAAAATGTTAACACTTCAAAGGCTAATTACCCACCATGCCACCTGAAGGTCCAGGCTTCCATCCATCGGATAGATTATGGGTGAGTGTTGCTGAAGAACCTTATGCCAGGATGAAACAACCATTCAATCCTTCCTAGTTGTCAATGATCACCTAATTGAACTACATCCGTAATGCAAAGTTACAAACATTTAACAAACTCCCTGCATTAACAAATCATCTATCTTACCAGTTGTTACGAATCGCTCTCTCCCGTTCTCTCTCTCTCTCTCTCTATGAATCACACTCCATACATACTTGAATAGTAACATACTATATTTATAACAAATAATTGATTTGTAAGTTAAACTACATTGTTTCTTACCTTTTTCGTAAATAATTAGACAAAGTTTCAAACATACACACACACACACACATAAAAAAAGTGCATTAATCCAAGGTTACATACACATATATAAGCACACAATTCAAAATAGTAAACACTATCAGACATAACATACTTTCTTCTAAAGCAAAGATTACCAAAACAGATCTTTCTTACGTTGATTTTAAATACAAGCTTTATAGTGGAAACAAGAATAGATAAAGGTATTTATTCGCAATTATTACTGTCTAATTACTGAGTATTGACTAATCTCATGTATATGAAGTACTTCATAGCGGTGATTATATTCTATCGATCAAGTTGCAATGTGACCAATACTAGTCTAAACAACTCGAGATCGTCTGCACTGTGTCAAAATGTATAGTGGTAATCTCGAGATAGTCGATAGACAACATTATAAGATTCAGGTTTCGTGTTATTTGTTGATCGTCAGCAACGTGTACTTGTAATATTAGAATTTGATTGATAGAATTACATCAACATTAGGAAAGATTTGATGTACATGACACTAGTCATTATTCATTTAAGGATTAGTCAAGGTTCAAATAGATCCATTGTCACGAATCTGATAAACGCGTGATCGGTTCCTATACTAGGACGAAACCGGTGTCTAGTTACTTACTTACTTACTTACGCCTGTTACTCCCAATGGAGCATAGGCCGCTGACCAGCATTCTCCAACCCACTCTATCCTGGGCCTTCTTTTCTAGTTCCATCCAATTCTTGTTCATTTTTCTCATGTCTATCTCCATTTCCCGGCGTAATGTGTTCTTTGGTCTTCCTCTTTTCCATTGACCTTCAGGATTCCATGTGAGGGCTTGTCTTGTGACGCAATTGGGTGCTTTCCTCAATGTGTGTCCTATCCACTTCCAGCGCTTCTTCCTGATTTCTTCCTCCACTGGGATCTGGTTTGTTCTCTCCCACAGTACGTTGTTGCTAATAGTGTCCGGCCAATGGATCTGAAGTATTTTGCATAGACAATTGTTAATAAACACCTGTATTTTCTGGATGATGGCTTTTGTAGTTCTCCAGGTTTCTGCCCCATACAGTAGAACTGTATTGACATTTGTATTGAAAATCCTGACCTTGGTGTTGGTTGACAGTTGCTTTGAGTTCCAGATGTTCCTCAGTTGTAAATATGCTGCTCTTGCTTTTCCGATCCGCGCCTTCACATCTGCATCAGATCCATCCTGTTCATCAATGATGCTGCCCAAATACGTAAAGGTTTTTACATCTTCAAAATCTTCTCCGTCAATTTTGATTGGATTGGTGCATTCTGTGTTGTATCGGAGAATCCTGCTTTTCCCTTTGTGTATATTGAGACCTATTGCTGCTGAGGCTGTTGCCACACTGTTCGTCTTCTCCTGCATCTGTTGTTGCGTTTGGGATAGAAGGGCCAGATCGTCTGCGAAGTCTAGATCATCCAACTGCATCTTAGATGTCCATTGTATCCCGCGCTTTCCTTCGGACGTTGACGTTTTCATGATCCAGTCGATCACCAGGAGAAAGAGAAAGGGTGAGAGTAAGCAACCTTGCCTAACACCGGTCTTCACTTTGAACGACTTTGTCAACTGTCCTCCATGCACGATTTTGCAGTGTAATCCATCATATGAGTTCTGTATGATATTGACTATCTTCTGAGGCACGCCGTAGTGTCGAAGAAGTTTCCATAGTGTTGTTCTGACCACGCTATCAAATGCCTTTTCGTAGTCAATGAAGTTGATGTAGAGTGTCTAGTTCATTCACGTTTTTAATGGTAGTTCAAATTAGATTGGTTCATGATTTAAATGAAATTCAACAAATCTCCACAACAACATATTGAGAATAGTTGAGATTGTTTGTTACTAGACGAACAGATTAAAAGCCATTAGAACGTGAAAATTACTAGTACAAAATATTGCGCCTTGAGATCCACGATCACATGTTACTTGGTCAATGAGACCACGGATACTAGTCTTGGTTTCTTTCTCCGTCTGTTCTTCCAACATGAGGTATTTTTTACTGTGCAAGTTAGTTTAAGTAAACTGTCAATTAATCGTGCACATCACTGAATTCATCTGATTTTTTAAATGGATACAGTAATATTTGTTAATCAAATATTTTCTCATAAGAAATATAGTTCACTTACTATATTGACTACCAAATACATTCATTAAAGCATTTCCAAATAGACCAGTTTGTTGTTGACTTGTTCCTACATTTTGTGATAAACGTCGAATATCGCGTTTTGGAGACCTGCTTTATATTAATGTAAAAAAACGGGAACAGATGAAATAAAACCGATTCTTAAACAATGTCGTTTCTCATTTATTTTCTTACACTTTATTATGATAAATCGTTCTGTTTTACTTTACAGCTGCAAAACTTGGCCTTTAAGAACAGATGATATTCATAAGCTACAAGTATTTGACCACAGATGCCTTAGAAATATTGCTCACATCTGCTGGGATCACCTGCTAAGTAATAATGAAGTCAGACGCAAAGTATTAGGGAACGATGATGGTAAATCAGTTGATGAACTTGTGAATCTTCACCTGTTACGTACGCCTCAACACCCATTACCACGACACGCAATGCTGACTAGTGTAGGGGATGGTTAGAAAGAAGTTAGGGGCCGCCAAAGCAAAACGTGGCATCACTCCACAAAGTCACTAACTTCTAGTGCGAGCCATATTGATAGATGGAAACTACTTGATTGGAGTCCGCATGACTATCTTAACCAATAGTTGGAGACTATGAGTAACATGGCTCCAAATCGATCACAATGGCGTAGGTGTATACACTCTCTATCTTCCCTTAAACTACAAGATTAAAATCACTTCATATCTTTCTTTCTACACACTAATTCTTTCTTCCTGTACTATATCCATACATAAAATCTGTCTTTTATATATTACACCATTGAGTTAACCGCTTCTATCAATCCAGTGTTCATCTTGTTGCGCTAATGAGGTATGGCAAGTTGCGCCGCTGCACATATGTGCATGATCCTACGTTGTAGCTAACTGTCTGATTGACTATGAACATTAGAACTGAGATGCAAATATATCTAGCTGACGAGCTCCGAATATGACAAAAATGTCCAGAATTCTAATGCTAACAATAATTCATTTATTTAGATGGGAATCGTAACAAAATGATCATAACAAGAAAAGCTGTAGAGCATCCACATAGGTTAACGAAGACTGATCAGAAGTCAGTCCTAAATATCAACAACGGCGTAATCCAGCTGAGATTATTTATTTATTTTTCAATGTTCGTTAAGCATGCTATATCTTTCACTTTTGTGTTTTAAGTGAAGAATAATGGGTTCGAGTAATAATCTGAGCACCAATAACATTGAAATGCAGGTACATCCAGCTGATGAGTTCCGAATAGGACGAAATGAGAGTTCTAGATTCTAGTGTTAGTCGTAAACGTCTACTCTTTTGTTCGCCCTCCAAATGCCCTTGTACGACCAAGGGTGGAGAGTTAGATCACCTTGCGGAACAACATATGTGAACATTATAATAATGCTTGTACATTATTACGGATATGAATATGAATAAGTTGTAAGTCTAGATCGAGGGAACTTTAAACAAACTGGTTATTCAGTTATTAATGAGTGCCTTTCAGGTCAATCTGAAATCAATAAATCTATCCACATAAACTGAATTGATTAACCGATGAAGATCGGGTCAATGAATCATATAGTTTGAGGTCAATTTTTATGAACACAATAACAGTCTATCATAATGGAAACTAAGACTTTGAAGTAAATCAATCACTAATTGTGTCATTAAAGTAAAATTATTGCGGATATGTTCACTGTTATTCAAAAACCGAGTAATGATGATTTTGTATTGAATGACAATGAAAACATTCTACTTAAACTACACAGTTCAAACAATTTAATGCTAACAAACAATTGTGACTATTAAGCCAAAATATAAAAAACGACAGTTTTCTACACAAAACTATCTTGAAAATCATTAGCATCCAATTGAACATATTCCCTGTAGTTTCATTTTTCACATGCAATAGCATGTAAGGTTGTGATGTGTCCATTACTGAGGAGTCACAAGCTCACAGTATTTAACCGTTTTTAATACATGCCCGGCTTGATTTCAATCTCTCAAGGTAGATATCACCCGAGAAAACAAAACTAAAAACCGTCAATGGATAAATTTCAAATGTCTCAGGAAATGTAAAACACTGCAATAGTAAAGACTGTATAAAGAAATAGGAGGGTAAGTATACACTGAAACAATTTCTCGCTTTGATTCAAATTGAAAAGGTTCAGATTATCTCGTTGTTGATATTTTTGAGTGAAATTTGATAAAACTTGGTTGGTGAATGTGGACCATGTGTGGATTCCCTCTATATAGCCATTTACCACAAGTTGATATAGAATGGATGGAATGTGGCTAGTAATGGAATCCAAGATGTACAATTCGTTCTATTTGGCACTCATCAGCTGGATTTACATGCATCCCAAAGTTGGTGTTCATACAGAGAATGAATTATATCTCATACCTGTTGCAAAAGTGAGTGCCAATCTAGACTCAGTAGCCAAATGGACAACACGATAGCGTGTGAATTGAGCGGTACTGGTGTTTTAAACGAGAACTCAGGTTGGAAAAGCCAATTTATTGTTTCATGCAAAATTACGCAGTGCCTTCGCAAAATATGAAAATCATACATTAAATATATTATTTGCATGTCTTTCTTCAATATCTCATGATCCTTCAATCCTGTTGTTATCACAGTTTCTCTCTGTTTTCTTTCTTATTCTCTTCAAATCAATCTTCTGCTGGCAGGCATTTCACTTCTGATTGATGCTACATACTACTTATATTCGAAGACATAAGTAGCGAACATCACATTGGGTTTGAGTACTGGATTGCACATCAACTCTGTGATGCAGGTACATCGGACTTAAAAGTTCAAGACAAAACGAAATATGAGTTCTGGATTCCACTGATAACTACATTCTATCTACTCTATGCTAAGTTCTAACAATGCGTTAGCAGAGAAAAAAATGTAGTCAATGAATTACCAAAGAATGTGTGAGCTTCAACGAATAACACGAGATTGAATTGATTACTTTAAGATTTAAACATAAAAGCATATAGTTAAGCAAACCATCTGACTGAATAACAATTCACATTGTGTTTCAACAAAACTCCACATGAAAATTAAGAGAATCTTTCTTTTTGGTGGAGTTTCGTTCTCTGAGCTGGTTTGACCAAACCATCCAGCTCAGAGAACAAAACTCCACCAAAATCATCCACCTGAGCTACAAATCTTCTCCAACATCTCGAGAATCTTTCAAAATAAGAATTCGTTAAATGACAAAATACAGTAATGATATAAGTTACATGAATCATTTGTTGTTCAATTGGAAATTGTTGGTGAATATGACAACATGACAGAAATTTCAATCATATGGTAAGTGGATAAATAGGTCACTGATCGACAACATCACATAAAATCGTATCAATCAAACAGTCAGTCAGTTACAACGTGGGATCAGGCACATATATATACATCGGTTCAAGTTGCCATGCCGCATTAGCACAAGAAGATAAACACTGGATTCATAGAAATAGTTAACTCAATGGTGTAATATATGAAAGAAAGATTTTATGTAGAAAGAAAGATATGAAGCGATTTTAATCTTGTAGTTTAAGGGAAGATAGAGAGTGTATACACCTACGCCATTGTGATAGATTCTGAGCCATGTCACCCTAAGTCTGCAACTATTGGTCACGAGAATACAATGAAAAGTAAGTAAAATAGGAGGTCCCAGCCAATAAACACACATAAACAGATACAATTTTTAATGTTCAGGGTTTGGGTTTAATTACTACCAATAGTAATCAACACTGTTATACAAAGTACTTGAAAAGTCAGTCATTCAGTCATAAAGAACATAAGACCTGAACTATATTCGCATTATTTCAAGTTGCCGTTACACTTTATCAATAAGACAAATGTCAGAGTAGCAGAATTTGTAATGACATTGGTTGTAGTGGAAAACATCTAGACGCCTAGACAATACCTAAACTCCTGGTTTCGATATTATATGGAAAAAATAACAGAAGAGTTTCAACTCTTGTAACCTATAATGATTGTTGTTAGATCATTCACCAGGTTCACTTGGGTATGGTCCAAACTACAAGTGTGGCGGCTAATGATACCACCAGATTTGCTTAAACTCAAGACAGATGAGCGGGGGTTGAACCAAGGGCTTAGTGTACATACATTGAAAAAGGAATAAACGCGATTAACTTACACTCCAATCTTATTTAATGATGATACTGAAGTTGAAAAATGTGAAAAACCAAATGAATATTTTATGTACTCCGGGCTTTCCAAATACATTGGTATAAATCGTAATTCAACTGCCTTACAAACTGACTGATAGGTTCTGCAGACAAAAAATAGAGAAAAAGAGAAACACATGTAGATAAATACAGAAATGAGTAAACCATATAAGTGTAAAACAATCAAAGCATTGATCGAAGAAGAGTTAGTTCAGCCACACAAATATGTGTTAATTCAACAGATAGGCTGTGATCGAAAGTGAAGTCCAATGAAGACGAGGTTTGTATTATGAACGATGTGGTCTCACATGATGTTGTTGAATATGTAGGGGGAGTTATTACTTCCCAGTTGTCCACACTGTGAAAGGATATTTATTCTTGCACAATCTGAAAAAGAAGCTCGATAAATGGTGAACTTAGCGAACTAAGAACATAACCGCAGAATCCAATGGACAACTACTTGAGGCCGGTCACACACAACCTATTTATGCAAAATTTTAGATGTGTTAGCTCCGTTCTTTAAAAGGCTTTACCGCCTAAGACAATGATACACAAGGTAGAGTGAGGTGTGATATATGTAGGAAGTAATTTTTTACAGATTCAATTCTAAACTATTCACTAGACTGTCGAGCACAGAGTTTTAGCTTAGCCAAAGTCAAAACAAGTAAACTAATTGGCTTGATAAACTTCAACTGTTTTTCTTAAACGTAAATTAACACAAAATAGACAATTAATACAGCCTATTAAACAGGCGAAAAAGAGTGACATAAATAACATTCCGAATTAAAGAACAGGAAAACTAAGTCAACAAACTTAATATCAGAGGAGTTTTGTGGAGATTGTAGTAACTTAATAATTGAATTCATGAGTCAATTAAAGCTAGACCATAATGGAAAACCTGAAAGCACTGGATGGCCTTTTTATCCTAGTACAGGACACCTCAGCAGTGCGAATCCACGATCCTGCCCCGCGAGATTCATTTATGATAAACATAAAGATTATGATTTCGATAGAACAATGAGAAGACAGAGTTGATCTGAAAAAAGTGATGTATTTACTTTGTACATTTCAAACAATCTGTTCATACTTTTTATATGAAAATTAATAAAGTTCATCGGACAGTGTCTCATTATTCTAGGTCATAAAATGACTCAAGGATTACTAGAGTACATTCAAGATTACGACAAATTCTTTTTGTACACATAATGAGGGTTTAAATTAGGATTGGTGACTGGGTTTGTTTATTCGATTACACTTTACAAATATATTAAGATTGACCTTTTCTAATTCATTTATTATGTTTATGAGAACGCTTATTGATGCAAATTTTGGTTATCTGAGGAGAAAATGCATTATTGCTGTTATACCGCTGTGCAGTCAGCAGTACAGCTTTGTACTCGGACCATGAGTATGGCACTTTTAGTCGTGTACGGTACAATGTCTATTTTTATTTATTTAAACACATAAACATTGGTAGAGGTAGGCAGCAAACAGATATGCGCCACATAAATCACTCCATTTCTGTGAAGGCTGGGACATTGACCGGGTGCCCAAAACGAACTATTTGATTTTCTTTGGGGGAGCACACCCGGAGACTTTGACCTAAAAGTCTGACCTACAAGGCAGTGGAGCAACGTTAAGAGATGCAGTCCCATGGTAGCCAGTCACCAACAATAGGTTCACATGCAATTTGTTCCTTCAGGATACTGGACAGCCCACGTGCATCATTGGTTTGGAATCATGGTTTCCCAACTCCCCTAGGTGAATCCTCTGTGTCTACTAACCCGGTTAAAGCGCCGGACATTCGCTTTTCATCCTCTCAATTTTGTAAACAACAGTAATGCCACGAGAAGGCAGTGAGTACGACTTCCTCAACAGTGGTTGTATGCACGTAGCCATGTGAGAGCATTTCGAGAGGGAGAGCTGACTCTCCTCACTCTCAGCCGTACTAGGGCATTTGGGGGACCTAAAGAGACAAGTGCAGCAGTCAACACAGCTCAGTTAAATCATTATGATATCTATTCACGATCAACACATCAAGGTATTAGCTATAGTACGTTAGTGGAATCTAGTGTCTAGAGTTCATTCTGTTTAAAACCTATTCACTGTATGTACCTGGAAACCAGTGTAGTTGTGCCAACACTAACACGTTTCACTACATTCCACTATCGTAAAAACGTAATCAACACTTAAAAAACCAACAACTAAAAACTCACTCTTTCCATTGTGGTGTATTAACAAGTTGATTAATTGTCTCCGGTGAACAATACTTTAAACAAACTTTTAATAATTCTTCAAATTCATTAGATACATTGAAAAATTGTAAACGTCTACCATTTACTGTAGGTAAGGTTTTAGTGGATTGATTATGTGTAATCATTTTAGATATTTGATAAATAGAATGATGATGATGATGATCATCATCATCATCATCATCATCATCATGATGCTGCTGCTGATGATGATTAATGTCAACATCATCCCCATTGTTATTATCATTAAACATTTGACCATTTAATATACTTAAAATATGATGTAATTGTGCACTAATTTCATGACAAGCATCTGATGATGGCATAGATTTTAAGACACGTGAATTAATTTGATCTATTTTGAATAGAAATAAAAGTTCAAATAAAGAAAATTAGAATAAACTTAATTCATCTACAAAATCTATGAAAATTAGTTGCATAAGTGATGCCGATCCACAAGTTTTCAGTCGATCTGGGACAGTGTTTTGCGCACTAGAATTGTTGGTTATGGTGATATTTGAGGAGGAAGCCAAAAGAGAAAGTTTAGAGTTGAAAGTCGATGTAGGAGGAATAATAGGAATTGAAGAGGGAAGTTGATTATGAATACAGTGGTCTTGAGTGCTGTTAGAGATATGAGGGCGATTATCACTTCCCGGTTGCCCACACTGTGAAAGAGTTTTTCTAGAAGTATCTGAAAGGGAAATTGGTTTAGGGGTAGTCTTAGTGACCTGAGAGCGTGACCGTAGTGCCCAAGGGACAACTGCTTGAGGTCGGTCACACACGACCTTTTTATGAGTAATTTTCGTGTTATATCCGAACGATTAATAAATGAATGGTGACTTCCGGGAATTATTTATGACCTATTATTACATATATTCTTACTGGATAATTATTAAGTAGCGATATTATGTATATATATATACCTCTCATTTGACTTATTGGCTATGTAGATACGATTTACCATTCTTAACTTCCAATTTATTAGGTACAGTTTCCCACACTCACAGCCACTTTCGGCTTGACCTCGTATAACTATTATTTTTCATCTTATGATGTGATGCGATCTGATTTGCTTATATATTTGAAATATACGATTCATACAGTGGATGCTCAGATTGCGTTCTAAACTCAACGAGCAGGGCTAGGTGAGGACCAATAAGGAATCAAAGTTGACCCAAGGTTCTTAGTTCTCATTGACGTGTCATTGGTTTAGCACGATAACAAGGTCATATAAGTCGGTATTCTGATTGTCAAATTTGTTTCGTAATGATGACAGGAGCAAAAGCCATATCAACAACCGCCAATACACTACCATTATCTCTAATACACTCTACCGCGTTTTTAGTAGTTCCTTAATAAAACATAACGACAATTACCTTCCAGGAAAATTCCTCAAAGTGATTTAAACAATAAATAGCTTATAAGCAGAGATGGATAGTGGATAGCAGTGGAATTCAGGACACGCGTTTCGTCCCACTCGGGGCTGGGTGTACCTGTATCTCACAGTTGATGTTCACTCAAAGACTCGATCCCAGTACCATTCGCTTCAAACACCATCACATTATCCACTTATATACTGAGTCCTGATAACCACCTGCTTGTGCAATGAGGTGAAGTTTTAAATTCACTTGGTGTTGTTTTACTTGTATCTTCCCATTGTTGTTTAGGATTGCAATTGATCAGTCTCTTAATGGCATATATTCATCCCGTACATAATGAAGCGAACCATACGGAGTTCGAGTCTCAGATATTGCCTTAGTTCACAAGCTTTATAAACAAAGATGGATAATGGTTACAATAATTTGATAAAGAAAAAATAAAGTATAATTACTTACACATTAACAATAAAATTGTTAAAGGTTCAATAGATTTAACTGATTTCATGTATTGCATAAATGGATAAAGTTCATCTTGTTGGTTTAATAACTTCTCAATATGTATAACTGTTGATTGCTAAAAATGAAAAAGAAAATTACATCACTGTTCGTTCCATCCAAAAAAACAATGTAGCTTGATGTAATTAATACAATGCTACGAACTATACTGTTTGTATAATGGCTAGAAACCTCAGTGTAAAGGATAGGCGTAAAGCTGTGACTGGCTTACATTGAAGTGAATGGAAATAGATTGGAGTATCAAACACGTTGTACTTAATTCAATCTGGACAACATCGATACAATATTATGTAATATTTACAAATGTAATTAGTAATAGAATCAAGAATATACCTCTCTATATGAGACTCTTCAGTTGGATATACCTAGATCAAACTATGAGTGATCATACCAAAACTCGAAATCAGTGCACTTTAAATTCACTTGCTGTTGCTTTACATGTATCTTCCCATTCTTATTTAGGACTGTGATTGATCAGTCTCATGTTGGCGTATATGCATCCTGTGCGGATTGCCTCGATATAGTTTTGAGTCACTAGCTTTTTAAGCAAAGATGGATAGTGGCTAACAGTGGAATCTAGGATGCACATTTCGTCTTATTTGGGACTCTTCAGCTGGATGTACCTACATCCCAGAGTTGATGTTCACTCCGGGACTCAGTAGCTAAGTGGATAACGCAATGGTGTTTGAAGCGAACGGTACTGGGATCGAGTCCCGGAGTGAATATCAACTCTGAGATGCGGGTACATCCAGTTGATGAGTCCCAAATAGGACGAATTGCGCGTCCTGGATTCCACTGCTAGCCATTATTCATCTTTCTCAGTACACTTTGCTTCAAAATATAACATGTCACCAACTGAGCTACTAATTTCAGAAAAACATTAATTAGTTCAACGAATTCAAAGGTGTTTGTATCTACATGTCAAATATTACTAAAACGTTTGGGATGAAATGCTATCATTAAAGCAATCTTCTAAGAATGCATATATAACAAGAGGAATTGATCAATTATTATTGTTTTGAATATCAATAACGCAATACTACAATAACTCCTCTCACTGACGAAAAAAAAGAAAATATACACTTTGACAATAACCATAATAATATGCATACCTTTTTAGATAGCCATCTCTCCCAGTCGTGAATATATGTTTCCAATAATGGGACATGTTGACAGTCATGTTTTATTAATGGTTCAACAGGCTAAAATGGATTAAACATGCATAGTCTCATGCTTATTAGTTACATATACATGTATATTTGAAAATGAAACTACACGGTAACTAAATGATGAGTTATAAATAAATTAATATATTTATAAGCAAAGATGGATAGTGGTTAGCAGTGGAATCCAGGACGCGCGTTTTGTCCTATTTCGAACTCGTCAGTTGGATGTATCTTCATCTCAGATTTCATGTTCACGCGATGGCGATTGAATGTCCGGTATACGCCTGACTATGTGAGAGCACTCCGAGAGGAGATCTGACTATCCCCAGCCTCGACCATACCACGGCATTTGCGGTTATACACCTAGTTCCCAGTGTCAAATGTTTGTAAAGAATGAAATTTTCAACAGAACAAACACCTATAACACTTCTGGGACCTCGAACCGAACACAAAACATTGTGAAATAATTAAGGCTTTACTTGAAGATTACGATTGCAAGAACTTTTGAATGTCTATAAACTTCTAGTAAGAGGATTTTGAAATTTTGTCAGTGTCGTTATTCAGATCGGCTTTGTAAGAGTCTTCATAGGTTAATTGTTAAGAGTTGACGATAATTCCTTAAAAAAGGAAATACTTCTACCAATCAACAATTGCGTAAACTTCGGGAAAAACAATCGATTATGCTTTCATTATCCTGACTGAACATTTAATGAATTTGTAAAATTTTTTTAGCATATTCTCCAGAGGTTTATAGAATATCAAGACAATAGATAATCACAAAGATATCTTTGTTCGCCAAACATAAATGAACCTTCTAAGTAAAGCTTCTTCTATAATTCCAACCCTCATATCTTAAGGTTAAAGAGTAGTAAACTTCAGCGGACTAGAAACCAGATTAAGTCGATGTCCATGAACATGTTCAGAAAATACAAATGTTGAAAATCCTTGCAGAATACGTTATCCTAAAAGTCCCGCCTTTTTTTTCATCTCATATTAGTGGTATGAATTATTAACATTCAAGTGTTCCCATTCTAAACAGTTGCAGATAGAAATTATTCGTATTAGAATAATCTTGATCGCCAAGTTATTGCCTAACTACCATCGGCCAATCAGAAAGAGCGTGTGTTCGAATTTCACCTCAATCACAACCTTTACCCCCAAATGCCTTGGTACGGCCAAGAGTGGGGAGAGTCAGCTCTTCCTCTCCAAATGCTCACACATGGCCACGTCCATACAACCACTGTTGAGGAAGTCCTATTCACTGCCTTTTTGTACCACGGGTGTTGTTTACGAAATTGAGAGGATGAAAAGCGAATGTCCGGCGCTTTAACCGGGTTAGTAGACACAGAGGATTCACCTAGGGGAGTTGGGAAACCCTGATTCCAAACCAATGGTGCATATGGGATCCAGGATCCCAAGGAAACAAATGGCATATGGACCGATTGTTGGTCACCGACTACCATGGGAATGCACCTCCTAAAGATGCTCCACTGCCTTGTGGATTAGCCCTTAGGTCAAAGGCTCGGGATGTGGTCCCCTAAGAAAACCACCTGCTTCGGTTTGAACACTCGGGTAGTATCTCAGCCCTCATACAAATCGAATGATTTGTGTGGCGCATATTTGTTTGGTGCCTTCTTGTACCAATGTTTATGTGTTTAAATAAATAAAATAAGATAGAACTTATTCGTATTAGAATAATGTCGATAGTTACGTTACGTTATAGCCTAACTATCATCGACCTGTACAGAATTTAACATCAATATACAATTACTTACGTACTTACTTACTTACGCCTGTTACTCCTAATGGAGCATAGGCCGCCGACCAGATCAATATACAATAAAGTCATGTTATTATTTACTAAAATAGACCATGATAAACTTACTGTACATTCAGGAAAACATAGTAGAATCAAATGATTGACAAAATCCTTCAAATATTCATCCGATAATTTGGAAGTGTGCAACAAGAAGGAGGAGGAGAGAAAGAGTACGGGATGGGGAAAAAATCAATAACGTAAATTTTTTGTTAACTACAGAATGAGAGTTTAAACAATAAAAATAAAATGACCTTAGAAACTATTAACAAGATCCATTGATTGATAAGATTATGCATAATTCAAGATGACAATAGAAGATTATTTATCCATATATATAGAACATGGATTTGATTTTCATTCTGTCAAATCTTTTCTACTATCATTACATATTATTATAATTCATACTAATCTAATATACTCACTGTGTTGATAGGATGTGACAATATGAATTAGGCTCTAAGTTGTTTAATGACTAACTGACTAATGTTTATTCTGTGTATACATTTCAACTCTAAACTCATCCAATAGCTCACCTCTATTGAAACTTTAAAAATAAGGGATAGGAATTTCAACTGAGATAAGCTGTTGTGTGAGTTGGTGAATAAAATTAAACCAAGAATGAAAACAAATCAGAATAAAAAGTTAAAATAGAGTAAAATAATTTAAAGCAATTAGTCTCTTTGATAAATTCCGATAGTGCAATATAAGAAAATGAAGATTATCAGAACTATTTGATGGTATATTAGTGTAATACATTTCGAAAAATCTGATCACAGTGGACCAAGTTACAAGGGGATACCAGATACATATGCACCACACAAATCTTAATAGGCCCCCAAATGCCCTAGTACGGCCGAGAGTGGGGAAAGTTAGCTCTCTCGCTCTCCAAACACTCTGAAGTGGCCACGCGTATATAGCTTCTATCAGGGAAGTCCTACTCACTGCCTTCTCACGGCGTTGTTTACGAAATTGAGAGGACAAAAACGAATGTCCTGAGATTTAACAGGGTTGGTGGATATGCAGGATACATCTAGGGGAGTTGGGAAACCTTCATTTCAAACCAACAGTGCACACGGGCTCCAGTATCCTGAAGGAACAAATGGCGTGGGAACCAATCGTTGGTCACCGGCTACCATGGGACTGCATCTCCTCATGATGCTCCACTGCCTTGTGGATCAGACCTTTAGGTCGAAGGTCCCGACTGTGGAACCCCAAGAAACCACATAGTTCGGTTTGGGCACTCGGTCAGTATCACAGCCCTTACAAAAATCAAATGAGATTTGTGTGGTGCATATGTATCTGATGCCACCTTGTACCAATATCTATGTGTTCAAATGGAAAAATAAATAAATAAGGACCAGTGAAGTTCAACCTGGTCTGTTGTGAGATAATAACTCATTGAAGACAATGGTGGATGTGTCGCTCAATTTCGTGGATTAATTGGAGTTAGACATTAACACCGAGCTCAGTGGTCTAGAGATTAAGCGTTCGTGCGCGAGACCGATAAGCTTTGGGTTCGAATCTCGCGAGGCGGGATCGTAGATACACAATACTGAGGAGTCCCACAATAAGACGAAACGGCCATCTAGTACTTTCAGGTTCTCCATGCTGATCTAGCTTCAATTGACTCATGATCTCAACTATTAAAAAACATATATACTTTTAAGAACATTTATATATAAAAACTAAAAAGTCAACTAGACTAGAAATGGAGGATAAGAGAAGGCAAGGATAATAACGAAAATGATGTTGTGAAAACAATTTGAAACCTCATCGCTTCTGGATAATAAACTGATATTACCAGGGGGGCGTTGAATTTTCGTATGGCTAAGTCTTCAATAAACCTTAGTATACGCCCTTTTACATTTGTATACAATACCACAAAAGCCGAGTAGTTAAGATCAATCTTATGACCTATTTCAATTGTGTTTGCTAATACAGGATAATGGATATTTATCCTCTACTCTGATTGGGGTATTTGATAAAAAACCGAATTGATACAACTACTTTTTAGCTTTACTCTGACAAAAAAAACAACATAATTGGTTATCCTTTTTAACCGTGTTTTTTTTATCTTGGTCAATATAACCAAGTATGTGGGACATTCGGTGTGTATAGGAAAAATTGGATCATTACTATGGGTACATTTTAATAGACTAGACAAAATTGAATATGATATCATACTTTCATTCTATAAAAAAAAACGAATACATATACATATGAGAAATGCTGAGAAAACTCCCAAAAGATGAATGAAGATACTTAGTGTACCAATATAAAATTTTACAGCGAAAACTAAAGTTATTTCGATTCTCATGACATGATCGATAAACCAGGCAAATGTTTGCATTAGATTTATGAGTCAAACATACACTAAGCATTAACTGATGGGACTAATCAAACAGTTATGATGAACGTGGAAACTGGAACAATGGTGTGTGTTAGCCTACGTTATCATCCTTATATCATCACGGTAAAATGAAATTTACAGGATTAAAAAAAACGAGTCAAAATTATAATAGTATTAATGATAGTGAAGTAAGATTAAGTATTGGATAATATAGTGACAGAGTAGTATGAGAACGAGCTCAAAGTAATCACGACAACTTTACAGTTAGTTTCGAGCCAATCAGAAAAGAGCTTTCATAAATGTATAGCTTATTAAAAAGAGCCAAGCAATAATATTACACAGTGTAAACAGATTTTGCGTTAATCGATGAATCGGTGGTCTCTAAATAAATTACCCTATCAGTAATTCGGAAAAATAACGATACATAGAATACATGAAATCCCATAACTAGATATAGATTGCCCGCACTTTCGAACCTTTAGAAGGAACCAAACAGATTTTTAAGTCCTCACACTGTTCCTGGTTAATGTTAGGGTTTTCCTCACGAACTGATATCAGTCATGATATAAAAGTACTCTATGCCTATATGGATGAATGAGTTTCACTCATCCATCAGGTTAATGGTTCATTCCAGAATTAAGGTTTCAAAGTTATGATTTAGGGATAGTGTCGACTTATCTTGTTATATACGATCTAAATGATACACTTTACACCATTTTTACCCTATGGTTTCCAAAAATAATTTTTAGCTATCACTTTCAACAGTTTAAGCAGTATACAAAGGTATTTCTGCTACCCATGATGCATGATATTCGAATTTCGTTCAAAAACCAGTCTTGTTTTCTATTCTGATTTAGTTGTTCTTAAAGTATATTTTTACCGAATATAGTTCGAAAAAAGGGATGAATTACAGAAGAATAAAAAGTATCAACCCAAGTTGAGGCTCAGAAATTAGAATGTGTGAATGAATTTTTGAAACTATGACCGAGTCTGAGCCACGCTACCAGAACAAAATGAGTGAAATATATACTTTAACTTACAATTTGGTTGGGGTGAATGTAAAGTTTTGTAAATTTTCTTTGAAGGAATGAATGTACAATGACAAGGCACTTGGATTAATGTTTTCTTACATTCTTTTAATTGTAAGCTTTCGTTTGGCACATAAACTACTGTTGCAAATCTTACTTAAATTAATGTTAGTTAATTACGGACCTATTGCTTCTTTTTCAGTTTTAGCGTAGTTATGTCCAGATTTTAATTTACGATTTCGATTGATGTGTAGGTCGGGAATTCACTGTATATTAATGCATAGGTTGAGGCATATCGGAAAAACTGCACGACAGAGATCTAATTTGTTTGCCATGCTCTCTTATTAGACTAAATACTGAGGTCAAAGAGGAAACTCCGTCCTGATAAATAAGCATTTAGATTACCTTGCTCAAGACTCAACGTCAATCGTTGTTATCAGTCAAAATGTATGACTTTTCAAAGTACAGGACATTAAGACAGATTGAAATAAGTATACTTGAGGTAGAGAATTAGAGTCTGAATTCTGATTGGTAAATCTCATCGAGTAATATCAATTAAACCCTAACATAGCAATACTAAGTTCGAGTCTTATAGTGAACATCAACGACTGAATGTAAATATATCCAATTAACAAGTTCTACGTAAGAAGAAACACCAGTGTTAAAAGCCAATAGTACTGAAAACATTATTTACAGTTCAGTAGTCCTCGACAGAATGTATGAATGACTGAGGTGTTTCTTACTTTACCATGTAATCTTTTACTTCGTAAATACTATTAGAAAGAAGTCACATGAATATACATATGACAAAACATTTAACTTACAGAATTCGCTAAAATGTCCATAGCAGGCAATAAAACACAAGTAGATAGTATTTCTATTAAAAAACTAGACAACGATCTGAAAATTAAAAGCATTACATGAATATTTCGAAATAACAACAGAGCTGTTAAATTTGTAGTACAAAAACATCAACATATTAACTACATTAATAAAACGCACCGTTACTGGTTGGTTGATGAGTTGTCTGTGTATTTTCGTGTGTTACATGTTCTCATTCCCAACTTATTACAAGATGAACTGATTACTGATGTAAGAATAAGTTATAAGAAAGTTAGAGGTGGTCAAACCATGGGATATGGGATAAGTCTACAATGTTTCTGTCACGTGAAATGAACCATGTCCTAGAATACAAACATTTTCTCCATGGTCAACATGCAATATTTGTTATCGATAGTTAGAGACTTTAGATGATATACTTTAACATTAAGCAGCAATGACGGAAATACATTCACTCCTTTAATATCACTTCATTGATTTCTTCTGAATTATTTGCTACACATACCTAAGTCATTTCGAATTCGACTCTTATTAATCTCACCGTGCTGTGTGAATATTAAATGAATAACCATGACTAGTTCCTACTTTATGACTAATATCTAAAAAGTTTTGATATGGTTGAAGGTGGGAAGAGTTCGTTCTGTCTCTTGAAATAGTCGCGCATTATGACCTGTTTAAGGAAATTTCTGTTCGTTGCCCTCATGTGGTGAGTTTTACAAAAGTGAGGATGGAGAACGGATGTGCGGCACTTAAACCAGGTTGGCATACACAAGGGCTGATGCCATATGAATTGTCCCAAGGATTTCTACATCGTGAATCGTTTATCGACATTGGAGCTGAGTGAAAAAAAAAGTGGATAGGTGACCAGTTTATCAAGTGGTGGCGCATTATGAATGACAGTTATGTATGGCTGACATTCTTCGGTTCATAAAAACTCCCCGGTTGGCGTCCTAGAGATTGTATACATCAGTGGTTGGAGACTTCATTAGATATGCCTTGGAGTGGCAGTGTTGCTGTAGTTTTCCACTACTATCATTATGCAAGTGAGAAAACTCCCATAACCGAATGTAGATTTTATCTGTATTTTAAACTGAACCGTATCTCATAACATACAATATAATTGGTCATTTACCAACTGATTGTACTACCCTACTCTTCTTGTTCTTTTCACAATGTCATCACTTTTGATTGTGCGGATTTTTTGTGCCCTATCGTACTATAATTTGTCCATAAAATAAACACTTGAAATCCTATTACCACTGATACTGTTGCTACCTCTACTATTCTGGGATTTGACTTGGCAACTTTATCTTTCTGTGCTAATGGGGTATGGGAACTTGAAACGATGTACATTTGTACAGGTTCTACATTATGACCTACTGACTGAATGTAAATTAGCTCTTCATGTCAGCTAGTCACATGCATTCGAGAAATTGGTATAAATGTGCATCAGTTCTAACTCCCTTCATCTCATGCTAACATAAAAAGAAAGAAGAAAGTTAACTCAAGCTGTTCTTGAACGATTACAAATTTATTTTTGTCAGTGATTTACATGAACATAAATGAAGTATGTGGATATTTTAAGCGAACTCTTAGAAAAAATTGGTTAATAATCACCGTTTACTTTGTAACGAAAGCTTTATGGGGAATGGCCAGTGTTAAATACCTCTACTAGGTTCATTTTTACTTAACGTTAACTTATCATCGAGGAAGAGAAATAAACAACTATCTCAATTCTTTCATTAGGATTTTGCGTGAAATTTAAATTATCAAGAAAAATTTTCTAAATTAATAGTATGCAAATGAATGGACAATATACATCCTGTTACTTACGGATTACAACCCAGTTCCATAAACTTCTGGAAAAATAACGCACTAGTTGAAGCACTCCGTGAAACAACAGGTGATTTACGACTACGCTCTGAACTACCATACGCATGTCCGGGAGAGTTGTGCATAACACGATTACGTCGAAAGCGATGACCGTGATCAACAGAAGGCTCTTTTGATTTATGAATTTCTGATGATGAAAGACTGGGCGGCATGCCGAGAACTGGTAATAACCGGCTGACCACTGCACGTAAATACATTACTTCAGCTTGTCTTGAATACAGAGCTGCATGTAATCGGTCTCCAAAAGCACACAAAACAGCTTCTTCGGAACAAGATTTCAACGGGCTTAAAAAGTATGAACATTAATAAACATCTAAAGGTCCGATACCTTTTACGGGAATGATTCTCCTTCAACATGGTCCGAGTTTCCTCGTGTGTGTCACCAACACCGGTAGTATATAACTTATCTATGGATGAAATAAATAAAGGATGAACAAAAATTTAACGATACGCGCCGTCATAACGTGGAGATATCGAATATAATGGATCATTTCGCAGCAGAACATATATACACTTTTTGCAATATACTAGAACAAATCTAATTTAACGAGTAGTGCAGTGGTCAATTGGGAGCTGAACTATTCGATTTTTAAGTTTATAATGCTTCTGACTTACTACTTAGACACAGGTAGGTGACCTCACAGGTCATAGTTTCATGAATCAATATTTGATTACTATTTCCTAGATGCATGAAAGCCTGAATACAAATTTCGGCAAGATCTGTCGTATTTTAGTCTTCGAGATCGATTGCCTGAGTATATCTCTACCATGACTTCCCCACCAAACTACAACACCAAAAACATTGGCCTATATAATCTACAAAGCCGAAAAACAATAAAGACAACTTTGGATGCATAATTAATGTGCATCAGAAATAGATTCATTGTATTATCTAACGGTACTATAAATGATCGTTGAGGCAGATGATAAATATTTTTATTAAACCATTTGCCTAAATAGCCAATAAAATTTCTACTGTTTGGAAAATATTGCTAGTTGTTTAAAAAGGACTGATGCATTTATCTGAATAATAGAAGTGACAATAATCATTGTTCCTATTACGTTATATCCTAGGTTTTCATTATGTAGATTTCTCATCGTTTACAATGGCGGAAATTCAAAGATCACTAGTATTCGGTATTCCATGGGAAAAAATTCACTTGTGTGGAAATTTCTTGGTTTAAATGACAGTAACCTAAATTGAGTATATTAAGTATATTACGACCTACTCATGCTTGAAGTAACAAGTCTGACATAAATATAAAGCGATTTCATTTTATCATTTCATACCGATTATTTAGTTGGTCTAGTTAATCCATAAGTACGACTTTATAGATAGGCACCAACACTTACTCTCAAGAAAGGAAAATGGCAACATAATGGTCACGAGTTAAACAAAGTAAAGTAATTAATGGAAGAGGACCTAATCGGCAAAAAATATTTAATTCAAATGAAAAGCCTCATACTTAATTACTGGAACTACTGACAAATAATTTTGTGAATGAGACTGAAAACTTGACGGCAAAGAAGTATTTGAAATGTTCATTAAAACCTTAGGTTTAGTTCTAATCAATAGTCTTAGGATACGGAATATGTCTCTAATAACCCCATGAAATTGAGTGGCTAACAAAACCAGCTTGCTATTTAATTGAATGACGCTAGTAACTTGACGATTGCCAACAATGTCAGAAAATTAAAGCACACTCGAAATGATGTAAACAAAATGCCCTTACATTGTGGAAAAGTTTTGGCAAATCAGATTCCATCAAAACACTTATCAGTATTCAACCACCTTTTATTCACTTTTAATACAACAAAAGTGTTAAATATAAATAAACGTTGTACCGGAAAAGTCATCATTCTTTATTGTAAACACATTATGGTAGATATCTATGCGGCAATATATTTTTGTCTAAGTAAATGCATTTTATTAATATACGGAGGTTAAATTTTTACTGGTCAATCTATAAAGCGCTTTAAACTTAGTTTACGAAAATCTATACCGGATGTAAACAGACAATATTGGACTAGATAGTCAAATAAGCTTGACTTCAAGAAAAGTCTGAAATAAGCTAGACACACAAGATGTTCGTGTAAGTGTGCACACTCAAGATTTGTATCATTCTGAAGTGCAAGCACAAGTTAAACACCAAAAACTGAACGAGTATGAAAGGAACATAGCTTACCAGAACAAGTAAGTGATAAAATATGTACAATATGGTCGAAGAAATGTGGGATAAACCGGTTAACAATGAACTCCGAAAGATCGATCTGTAGAGTAAAACTTTTTCTACTAAAGAAACATACATCTTTAACTCTTTGGACAATTACAGCACAAGCGTATTGTAAAAACATTTTCAACTGCACCATGAAATCTGGGTTTGAAGTAAACGGTCTGAAGATATATAGTATCGGACGATCATACATACCTATACCAAAATTCGATGTACTCTTTAAGTAGTAAGTCAAATATCTAAAAAATCAGATGAATAAATTGAGATTACCGATTGCAGAGCTTCGTTAGATCTACTTCCAATTGTAACCTTTGTGTGATCGAAGTAAGCATCTGTTGGCCTATGAGGAAAAATTAAAGAAATCACAAGTAACCCACTCATGCACGCGCTTTTTCGGCCTTAAATACTCTTTGCTGAAGATGAGCATTTTAACAGTAGGCTGAGTTCTTTCAATCACCATACACTTGCTACAGATGTGAATTAAATCGTCTTACCTCAAAAACACGCAGAAGATGTAGCCCATGAGCGTGAATGACAAAGTTATCCAGATAAACACTATCATAACTTAGGATACTCCCATGACACTGTAGAATATATCTAAATCAGACAATGTATTCCACCGTAATTTGAGGTCTATTCACCTTCATGTGCTTATGTAAGTGAGAGATAGACCTTTAAAGTACCTGGGTACTGAATCTTTTGGTTCACTGATACTCCAGTTAATCCTGAAGAATACGCGAAGCACAACGAAAAGTGTTGTGACAGTTATGAAGAATCCAAGATACTATTAATATTGATAACACTTGTAGCCATTGCACGAAACTATATTTTTATAGTCAACATTAAATGGAAAGTATGTTCTGTTGTTGCGTCAGACTGTTAGCTTAACACATGTAGCGATGGACAGTCATACACATTACTATGCAACGCAATAATTCCAATTTCCCGCAAGATACAACAACTCATAACACAGAACTGAAAATTACCATGTACTGACTGATGGCTAGCTTAGAGATGGAATTCTCAAGGTTCTGGTGGGAAACCGTAGCTGGTCGAGCTCAACCACGTTGAGTCTGAGGCAGTTACTCACCTAAGACAAGTTACCATACCACATTAGCACAGCAAGATGAACTCAATGGTCTAATATATAAAAGAAAGATTTTATGTAGGAATATAGTCCAAAAAGAAAGAATTTGTTGGTAGAAAGAAAGACATGAAGCAAGTTAAATCCCATGGACTAAGGGAAGCTAACATGGCTAACATGGCCACCGTTAGACACCAGCTCAGTGATCTAGAGTTTAAGCTTTCTCCTAAGACCGGAAGTCCTGGGTCCGAATACCACGTGCTAGATCGTGAATACACACTGGTGAGGAGTCCCATACTAGGACGAAACGGCCGTCCGGTTAATCCAAATTTTCAATGGTGGTCTTACAATAGTCGGTCATGAGTTCAATGAAATTATAAATCTCCACAATCACAAACTGTAAATAAATATGTTGGTGAGTTGGCAATGCAAACAATATGAAGATGTCGACGTGTAAGAATTGAATGGGAAGAAGAGTTTACAATGAGGAAAATAGAGAGAAGTTACCAATATGTGATTATGATGACAGTCATAAATAATGGGACATGTATCAGGTACACCGGCTTCAAGCTTGCAGTGGCAGCCCTTAGGTGAGTGGGTGTTTGTCAAGTCTCCCCTTGAAGTTATGTACTGAGGAGGCAGAACATTAGAAGTGGGAGGAAATTGAGAGAGTACCTGGTTGTTCACTTTGGTGTGCAGTTTATCGGGGTTGTTTCAGGGGGCGTAGTGGTGATGTTCTGACAGGATCCACATGCTGGGGTGAATTGAATTATTCAGTATGTCGCATTCCATTTACAGGTTACCACTAATTTTACCATAGCTCAACGACGATATCTCGAGTGCTGGAATCTTTTTGTTTGGCCCTATCACTATTTGGATGTCCGTTTCTATGTTTGGTCTTAGAGATTCGTGCCTATGTATTTTGAGCCGGTATCCAAACTCTTTGTGGTTACACAATTTTTAGGTCATGATTTAAGGATACCGTCGGGGAAATGTTTCCATAAACAGAGTGGATTCTTTGTGTTAATCGAAGCAGAATGTTCGACAGGTCAAGTTTCAACCTATTGTGTACTGCCCATTCCTTTGGTGTTGTGAGGTCATTTTTAAACTCGAGTGAACACATGTCGCTATTTATGTCGTTTGTATGCACCAGAGCCACCAAGCTCATTTTATCCTTAAAGTCATCAACAAAGATCAAAGGGATGCACTGATTTAAATTAGTCCCCTATGAAACGCCTGCTGCTGTGACTGTAATTCGCATACCTCCTTATGTACTCTAATTCTTTGGGTGGTTTCAGAGCCAAAGTAGATGGTCAATGAAACCTATGTCCACTAACTTAGCATTGAGGAGTTCGTGTTTCATTTTATAGAGGGCTTCTGAGAAGCCAAGAAATATTGCATGGACTGGTAACGTTTGGTCTCAGCAGGTTGTCCAGCTGTTCCACTCTGTGGGAAAATTGGCCCCACAAGACCTGTCTTTCCTAAATCTGTGCTAACGTTCATGGAGGGTGTTGTTTTTGTCCATACGTTCCCCTGTTTGTTCATTTACTAACCCTCTCATTACGTCAACAGTACTGGCAGTAATGCGACTAATCTGCAATGTCTTCTTTTAAAGACTGGGGAGTGAGAAGCCTGAGTTCATTCTCTTGAAAGTTCCTGTGACCCTACTAAGTGCATGAACAGATCACGTTCAGTGTACCGGTGGTTATTATTATTGAACAGATTTTGTCACATTCTGGTGACTTTACATGGCGTGGAGATACTAGGTTTTTGAAACGAACAAAAGAATCAACTTTTGTTCAACTTTACTTCTGTTTTTATTCTATGTGGTGATTACTCAATGCAGTATTTGCTTTTTTCCCGTATGATATTTTATTCTGTATAACATACGATATTCTTATATTAAATTAACATGAACTATGCCCATCATGACATGCAGCATGTGATTTATTACAACTGTAAGTATTCTTCATAAATGGAATTCCATCCTAATTATGAATAAAAAACGGTACACGAATCAGTATATAAATGAGTGTATTTTCGACTAGGGTTATCGTCGTCGTGTTTTGGGGTTACTAGCAGAGCTTATGAGCCAAATCTGGAATTCAGTCGATAGGACATCAATCGGTTGCTAATTTTGCTACACTTACATAGATTATTTTCTTTTCACTGTGATTACAATTTGCTAAGACATCGATTCTACTCCACGTCACGGCTCTCCTACACATAAATACATATCGATCTTATTTGTTTGATTCATAGAATTTGTGTCCTGTTCTTCGTCTCATGATTTTGATTAAGTATCGAATATCTATCGAGACGTCTATAACTAAGGTTCGCTAAAAAGTTATTTATAATATTTCTCCCTGTAAATTAGGCTTTTTCCATCTGACAAAGGGATAAGAATTAAAATGAATTATTATTCTGCAAAACCTGTTGCTGCTAATAATAAATACATCATTTCAATGTGTAATAAATTATATCTCTAATATATCATGATTTAACGAAGGTCACTTCTCCGAGGAAAAAAAATGACTTCAGTTAACACAAGTTCAAGTAGTACAAAGGAAATAATGCAGAATATTTTTAGTACAGTCAAAATCATAACAGATATTAGTATGTAATTATCATGTTATTTTGGCTAAAGTGATTCTGTATCACATATCGCTAGATTGATCTTTTAGTCAGAAGGCAGGTATGAAAAGTGTAAAATGTCTGTATACGTAATATGATGTATTAGGATCGAAATCGGATGCGTGTGTGCAGATTATGTGGAAAATGAATAAGGTCAAATGTAGTTTTCTGTAAAAACATTCCAGATTAGATGAATATCCAGACGTTATTTCTTATTGAAGACAAGGAGGATTTAGCATTAAGTGAAAATCTTCGACTAAGCACAGCCTTTAAATACTGGTAAAATCCTCCCGAATTATTATGATGTTTTTGATATTAATTTAATTGTAGATCACCAACGTAGACGATCTATGTCGAAAATGATTGCAGGCCTACTCGAGTTAGACGTGAATGGTGTGACAAACTAGCTAACATCGAAGTCACACCTCATGGTCAGCACCTTACGTGGACTACCCCATTAACATACCAAGGTACCATAGATGATTTGAAGACTGTACAACACAGGGGACGTCGTTACAGAAATATATTAGTTAAAGTAGATACAAGCGAAAGTGAGACCACTGCCGCATGGGCCAGTCCATGGTACACGATTAACTGATGCGCGTTGGTTGTCACTGACCTTGACGAGGATCGGTGATTTGCTTGATATCCAGTGACCCAACTGCCGGATGATTTGGCTATGGCTTAGTGACATTTCGCTGGACCTACATTACTCCCCCACTAGATTCAACGGTCGTTTGAATTGGTACCAAACACGTTGGGAGTAGTTGCGCACTGGAGATTACCAAACGATTAATATGAATCCTCTGGGCATTTCCGAGCTGTAAAACAAAATGGAAAGTAGGCGGCAGAAACTGATCGGGAAAACAGCGAATAACAATATGTTAGTACGACTTTGGTTAAACGTAAAGCGATTAACCATAGAAATAATGAAAAGAACCAAACGTTTTTTGTTCTATCAAGTCGCGCTGAAATATATAGCTTTGACAAATAACTGAGTCCCTCCGATGAGAAACGCTAAGTTTGCCGTAAGAGTAATGATGCTATAGCGATAGTAGGGTAAGTGTATTATCAATCGATGCCGATGTCTATAGTGCCATTGATTTAAAGTTGAATGTCAGACTGTCGTTGACAGCTTCTAGTTATATCTATATTTAACAGACTAACCGTAAGGACAGAAGTATAACCGTGAAGTGATCGTGATTTCGTTGTGCTAAGCTATTAATCAACTTGTAGTCCGAGTTTGAAAAGTCGATTACTGCTGTTACAGTCAGTAAGGGTTGAAGGCCACAAATCGACAGCAAAGGTGGCACGATGAAGTCTCTATAAGATGATAAACGGTAAGTGCTGCGTGTTTGTTCGGTTAGTGAACAGAAAACTATCGAAAAGAACATAAGAAACCAAGAGTGTCACTCTGGACTCATGTAAATGATGCCCGTGAAAAACGCTGTCAGTGTTGAGATAGAGGCGACAATGTCGTTTTAAGTTTGCAGGAGATTCGCTCGACTGCATAAACTGACGATTCGCGCGAATGATAATGTCGTCAGACCACCAATTGAACTGGACAGGTTTTAGATCGTTGAGTAGTTGAACAGCCGATTGATATACCGAAATCATCTGTTAGATAACAGCCACGAGGAAACAATACTTCATAAAATAAAGTACGACATCGAAGTAGAATAACTACAACAGTTCGGATGTGTTATAAAGTCAAATCTAAATAACATCGTTCTTACGTATACTAACAGTTGCACTGAACAGTCGTTTAGGTATGATTAGCGTAACAGTTGGATGTGTGAATAAAAACATATACGAAAACTATGGTTGGGTTCGTGGAGAATTTTTGAGGACGTTTAGATATTTTCCAAACCCGTACTGTATACAAATGAACCGAAAATGGAATCAAAATGACTGTCGGGTAATAAGGAAATCGAGTCATGATTTACCGTGTGAAATAATAGCAAATACAAGGAGTATAATAAACATTAATTAAAATGGTAACCACCAATGTAACGAAAGTAGACTGAATATGTATAAGTCCAGAATTAATTTAAGCCAAACATAGCATTGCCTGACGAACAGACTAAACGAGATCTAAGATTGCAGGAAATTTATAGTTCAAACTCACCGTAAATTTCTAGCATTCGTATCCTCTGTTTGGCCATGGAACTCAGCAATTGGAAATTAGGCAGGCGGTGGTCAAAAAGAAAGTAAAACAGTCTGGTGGATAGTGGTTAAGCAGAAAGATGAATTTATAATC